TCAAGTCATGTACGTTATTTGTTGCTCTCTTTGAGTCTTTTGTGGAGCGAAGACCTCTATTAAAACATCCATGCGATGGTCTGTTTTTTTTTCTACCTCAGTGGCAAACGAAACCGAAAATTTAAACATTTGGTCCAAACTAAACACATGGGCGAAAATACCACAACTCACATAATGAAAGTATCCGCAGCTGGTACTAGCCTTAAAGAAAGTGAGAAAAAAGTTTACGAATCATTGTGCAAGAAAAACAACAGTCAGTAAGCTGAAGAAAGCAAAGATTGTAAGTTCAGAACATATCGTCAGTGTCACAGGCCACAGAGGTATAAATTTCCTTAACGACTACGATGAAGCCGACGAAGAAGAGCTACGATGACTCTTGCACTAGGCCAGATAAGATAATGAAAACTCCAGCGCTGAGAAAAAGCAAATATTATATTAATACTGGCAGTTTCCGACATCCCAGCAACTGTGGCTCCACTCACCCATCGATGGCAGCGTCGAAGGAAAACAAATTGCCTCCTGCATTCTCGGGTTTTAAATCTCAAAAATTTGTCCATGAATCCAGCTATGATGGGGTCTCAGGAACAGACAATGATAAACAGTCGTTAAAAAACCTTAACAAGTGTCTTTCATCATTGGCTGCTCGAAGCGTTCTCATGATTTCAAAACGGCAGTATACTTCTTGAAAACGCTTCTTGTAAACGCCGAGCTCTCATAAAGGATGAATTTAAAAACACTTAGCGTGTGTTCCTTTCGGTGAATCCAAAAACGGATTTTAGATCTAAGAACGGATTTGGCGTTCCTTTCGGCAAATCCAAATCCGGATTTTTGATCTGGTGAATCCTTTTTGAAAAAGGATTCATTGGATTTGAAATCCGAAGAATCCAAATCCAGATTAACGGATTAGTGATCTACGCTGTTCCATTCACAGTGGATCCGAAATTAGTCAGATGATCCAGCGGTATTTCCAGTTGAAGTATTCCCATAGAGGCCGTAGAGTTTCCTCGTTGCTGTCATTTGCCCCAAAACATCTGAAAACACTAGAAGATTGTTCCTGGTACATTAAAATATCCATATACTAACCATTTGTCTCTAAAGATTGCTTGAAATCAGAAATAAGTAAAAGTAACAAATGGACTGCTATCTAACTACAAACTCGCTTGTAGATGCGACAGGCACTCGATCGTGTTACATAAAAAAATCCGAGCTATGGAACTGGATCAAACTGGCCGACATTCTTTAGATAATTTTCAATTTTAATGCGCTTCTTTCTTTGTCTGTTTTATATCTTCCATCGTCGCTATTCGAACTGCCGACCACTAAATTCTGCACGGTATAATCGCATAATTTGTCAAAGAGTAGAAAACACGTCATTTTTTGAGAGGCTGTCGTGCATATTGCACGCGTTGGCGAAAGATTACTAAGGTTACAAATCCAATTTCGGATTTCACGTTCCTTTCGACCGCGAAATCTGGCAAATCTAGGATCAAAAATCCATTTTTGGATTCGCCGAAAGGAACACACCCTTACTTTTGCTGATTGTTACAAACCAAGTTATCTTTAACAGGCTGGTGACGATATAAAAAAATCCTTGCACATTTCCAAGTTCTTAGCTGAATGATTTTGAAAGCGTTGGTCTTGAAAAAGTTTGAATTTGACAAAGGTAGTAGTCTGTTTCAACCAATCAGTTGAATGAACTAAAACGCGCGCGCTGTCAAAATTTGTTGTTGTAGTTATGTTTTTCGTGTATATTATTAATAAGTAATCACATGATTTTTCTCGTGCCATTTGGAATAAATAAGCACTTGTAAATTTTTCAAAGACCACAAAGTGCACTCGCCCTACGGGCTCGTGCACTTTTGTTGGTCTTTGAAAAATTTACTTGTGCTTATTTATTCCAAATTGCCCTCGAAATCATGTGATTACCTATACTAATTGCACCACATAAAGGCACTGAACTTTTTAGATGGAAATTGCCCGAGAATTGACACTGTATTATATTGTATCAAGAGAGAGCTTTATCCTCTCTTGATTGTATAGATCAACGGTAACGTTGTTAAAATATCCGAAAATGATTGGAAAGCCAGGGGTTATTTTGGCTTCATAATACATGTAGTGCACGTCGCAAGAATTTTTAAAACTGTATCAAGGTAACAATTTTTATGTTTGAAATTTTCGAGGTCAAGAACACAATTATCACTAGAGTAGGTTTAAGCTAGTTAGCTCTTAACACATGCAAAGTTTTATAAATTACTACACACAAACTAGAAATTGGCCAATGGATACAACTAAAGCACAACACTGAAATATGTTTGGTTTTAAATAATACAAGTTCTAATCAATAGATTCCCCCCCACCCTCCTTCTTTGGTAATTCAAGTTCCTCGGTTTACACAGCAAGTCTTTTGAGGCAAGGACAATGAGGATGAAGGGAGATAAAACTATGAAATTGAGCTACGACTTCAACGTGATGGTTGCTAGACCCAAACCCAGGGAGTGCTTTCTTAGAGCTACAGGGGGTGTGAGCGGGACCAATGGGTAAAGATTTCCACGATTCCAGTCAAAGAAAAAATAACCTGAAATAGGATAAGGTTTTGTTCTCCATGGTACAAAGTCTGTTTTCATTTTATTTTATTCTACTATTCATTTTTTATTTACTCATCTTTTTCATTCATCATTTAAGAACAGCGGCAGGTCTGAAATAGGGTAAGGGAAATCACGTGGTCACATCTCACCCATACCAACGCCCAAATTTTCCAGGGGTCAGGTACCTCTCGGGGCTGCTGAGAGAATGCAGTGGTAAACTAAATAGTATAATACGAAATGCCTGAATATTTCTCGACATTCTGTTACACGGTGGAATAGATCTGTACTTTGTGCCTCAAAGCAAGCGTGGGGTGCGATAAAAATCGGACGAAGTATATAACTTCGCAAATGAAAAATCTAGCACTTAATAATGCTATCACTGCAAGATAAAAAAGACAATGTCGTATATTCAATTGCCTTTAGATGATCCATCTAAAACACAGAAAGAAGAGTTCATGTTTGAGATTGAGCAGATGAAACTGTTGGGTTCACATAAGAACGTTGTATCCATGGTTGGATGCTGCACGATACAGGAGAAAATGTTCCTGGTCATAGAATACGTTCCTTGTGGTGACCTACTGACGTGGTTACGCCGCAGAAGAAAAAGGGTAAGGCGATGAACGAAATTCAACATTTATTTTAAAACTGAATTATTATGAAACAAGTACAGGGAGACAAAATTCCGAATCTGTTTTTGTACTACTGGAAATTGTTTTACGACTTATCATTAGTACTTGATGGATTAATCTAGATCATCGAAATTCAAGCCTCCGAGAGATCATATGCTGACAAAGAGGCTCTGAGAGATCATGGAGTGACCAGTGATCAAGTAAGCTTGTTCTTAAATTGTATCTAACTTTCCATACTAGCTCTGTTGTAAAACGTTTTGCTATTCTTCATTCTGCTTTTTGATTTTTTGACCTTTCTAGCCTACTCATCTGATTATTGCTCCATGGTTTGCACGTGATGTAATCGAAATTCAAAATAAAGAATTATTTAGCCTAATTTGAGTTTTAATTTACTGAGCTATTAGAGCAGCTGAAGACGTATAATTTTTGCAGTGTTTCCGGTCGAAATGGTTCTTCGTTTTGTGATAGAACAAGTTTGAATTTCTTAACTATTTCATAAGGCGTCGTTAATGGCCGCTGTCCTGAAAGCTTTTGCCTAGGTTAAAAGAAGACAAAGACTGACTTATTATTTGGAGACTTTGCTGTAGCGAACATTGAATTTTTTCCTTGTATTTGAGTAAGTATTAATTTTACTTATACGGGCTCTTTAGAGATGTCTACTCGCTTCGTGGCAAACTCAATGACAGATGTTTCCAGGATGTTTCTGTTATTTTCCGGCCGCTATATTAGTGTTCCTCATGCAGAGGGACGCCAACATGATGTCGCCATACAATTGCAGAGTTCTATACACGATATGTAACACAGTTAATCAGAATATCTGTCACGCAAATAGCCTCTTAGACATGAACCTTGGCAAGAATGTTTGCAGATTCATCTCCTTTCATCTCTTATGAATTGAATGGTTTTGGCTCTATTTTTTGACGGCGTGTATGTGAAAGATTCATTTTCCTGCTTCCCTTCACACAGGTTAGCAAAGTGGCCAAGGAACAGATTAAGCAAGCGGAGAAAACACAATTGCAAGTGAGCGTGGAAAAGACCCTATTATTACAGGATAACAGTGAGGACACAGCGTCGACTTCTTATTATCTCGGCAGCGAAGTGAGATACTAATCAGCCAGTTAAGGGCTAAAATATTTTAATTCTAGTTTATTTGCGCTTAATATGTAAGAATTGTCTCTAATAATTTCATTTTTCGGGAACAGAGCATCACCACTTTTTGAAAGAAGTCAACCACAAAGACGTTTTGACAGATGAGAGAGACGGTTGGGGATCAAGTAGGCTTATCACAAACAAAAATTTGAGCTATCGTCAATGCGTCTTTTAGTTTATTTGTTGAATTTAATTAAGCTATAGGTAGGGGATTTTTTTATCTTTAGTCTCCAATACATCAAAAGTCCAAATTCTCGTTATATAGAGTAACGGAGAATGCAAATTTGAAGCATGCTTAAACGCGGAGTACAAGATTCCACGACATTTTGCTACCTTAATGGTTGCCTTAAAAACTGACAATAAATAAACAATTAACAATTATATTGATTAAAAAGACGGATGAATCAAATACTTAAAAATGTACTTAAATTTTTTTTCGTAAAAATGTCTTGAACTACCTTGAAACTCCAGCATTGCGTGACAGAGAGAAGGGCCAGAAGTGCATTAAAATCTTTTTAAAATTTAATTCAATTTTTCCACGCAGGAAAGCAAACAATCGCATGAAATAGGAGAACTGACTCTGTTATCAGAAGAAAGTAACGATGAGGTCCGACAGGAGCTGGCGTCGACTTTTCAAGGCCATTTTGTAAGAAGGAAATGCTTGAATATTTCATTTCATTTTTGTTAAATATAATTATACTGAGAGTGGACAAGGCATGCAGACAATGAGGAAATTTGCTGAGAATAAGTAACAATTTTCCGCGAAAGAAAAAGTCAACATCTTTATTGACCGTGCTCCGAAATAAGCCAACGAGAAAAACTCTAGAAATCACATGCTGATCTAGAGCCATTGATTACGTCCACAAGAGATAAACTAACATCAAATTAAAGCCAGGACTCGAGCCAGGACTCCTAACCCTAACTTTAACACTAACCTTAACACTAACAGCGAGCTCACTTTCCATGATTGCCACGAACTTTGCTGGGCTTCCCAGGCAACTGTTGTATTCCCAGTTACGCGATGGAAAGAGAAATCAAGGACGGCCTAGGCTAAGATTCAACGACATCGTGAAAAGAAACCTGAGGCGGAAGAACATTTTAGTAGATTCTTGGAGGCAGCGAGCAAAGGACAGAACGACCTGGAGGAACCTGATTCAAGCTTGAACTCTTCATGAAACAGACATTGTCGCTTAGACAGACTGCTTAACTAACTAACAATGGTCATGTGACTTGCAGGAGGTGAAAATGGCGGGAAAGCGAAAAATTGTCGAGTCCTGCGTCGAGTCCTGGCTCGGTAAATAGGCATCCTCCTTCCACAATACCGTCTGACAAAGAATTTTCAATATATGTTTACAGTGCGACTACTGTAACCCGAGCCACTTAGACAAAGTTGACCAATCGGATTACAGGAAAATAACAATACATTCCAAGAAAGTTGGTTGTGGGCCAATCAACACGTCGTAAGGAAACAATAAATTACTCGAAGCACTAAATTTAAATACTCATAGCAAACGTTTATGAAAGCAAAATGTTTCACCAGACCAGCAAAGTTTTTCTATCCGAAACTTTTCATTTAACACCCAGGAGACGAATTTGTTTGACTTAAGTTGTTATTTTGTCATCTACCAGCAATTTCTTCGCTAAACTTTGCGGCCGCGCTTTGCAATAAAATACAATACATCTAACGTTTACATTTTTCGCCCCCCTCAACACTGTAACGGACCTCCCAGTTAGGGTTCAAAAGGTCACATCTCTAGGTTGTAACTGGTTGATTTCGATCCATGCTGTTGATTTCGTTTCGTGGTAATTATGATTGACAACTAACTTCCTCGGAATGTATTGTTATTTTCCTGCCATTCAATCTGTCAACTTTGACTAGGTAACCCCTGTTATAGTAGTAGTCGCCCTGTGAAATGTTAATCTTACTAATGAGATGAAAGGTTTCACAAGAACAATCTCTCCGGGTCACTCCTATACCAGAACACAATCAATCGAAGCACTCAAGCGTGCATTCGATAAATCTTGGCAGGTCTGGCAAATGAATCCACAGGTATACTTTGTGATCTAATTTAAATTAAATATTACTTTTCACCGATTTTCAAAAACTGGTGAGCATTTTCCGCAAGGTGGCACAGTCCCATTTTGGTGAGAGCATGGGTACTAACTTTTAGGCACGAGAAACATGGCTGCCTTTAGGGGTGTTTCTCAGTGTTGCGAAGACTTTTGTTGGTTAGCTTTTGTTGGTTAGCTAGTGGGTATTGCTTAGTGGCTTTTCAATCTTTTGTATTACGTCATTTGGTGATTGCACCTTGTAGAAGGCCTAAATGTAATAAACAATAACAATTTGCCCTAAATGTAATCCTTATGCACTGTGAAACTTAACGTTGAAAATAAATTGCGGCGCTTATTCGTGTAAATACGGTACTAAGCGGTATTAATATGGTATTAAGCACCGCTCTCAAATAAGTGCCGCATTTTTGGAGAAAAAGTTAATAAGCGCCGCGGCGCTAATTCGCTTAAATTCGGTACATTTCCTCATGCACTGTGAAACTTAACGTTGAAAAATAAATTGCTTGTAAAACGACAAAGTAACAGTATTTTTTAAGCAATCTTCTTCTTAGGTTTGCATAACTGTCAAGAATTCTCCCAACCCCTCGGGTGTTTATATCAGGCAATGCAAACACGGGAAAAAACGTTTTCTATTGCTTTTATAAAATAACTTTCCCGAGAAAAAGAAAAACTCTTTGTTTAGGTTACTGATTAAAAGAGAAACTCCTACCAGTCGCGAAGTCTTGTACACGAAGCTTAATGTACGTGTAATCAGTTCTTGTTTGGCAATAAAGATGCTTTCCAAAAAAGGGTTTTTCTTGCTTAAAATGTCAGTTTAAGCGAAAAAAAAATTGGCACAGCATGTTTGTAAAGATTTTCCAAGTTTCATCCGACGAGTCGCGAGTCGATTACATTTTCTTAAACAACTGAAGAGAGCGAATATTCCCGCCAAAGATCTGCTAATCTTTTACTTGACCTGTATCCGCCCATTAACGGAATACGCATGCCCGGTGTTTCCCGCATATTTATTCGCAGAGCTAGAACAGCTACAGAAGCGCGCAATGCGAATTACTTTTCCGTTTGTACCATATAGCGACGCATTACATCAAGCCAACCTGGAGACGCTCTCTCGACGCAGGCAGTCTATCACAACTAAGCTTTTTGATTCCATCACTTTTAATTCAGACCATAACAATTGTGAATCCAATTTAAGACGAAAGAGGAATTTTAATGTCCCTCTGGCTTAGACGAAGAGACTTAAGAACACATTTATATATAGCAACTGTAATTAAATTTTTAGCTACATATGTGTAAATTTTTGTCATATTTTTTGTCATATTTTTATTAGATTTTATTATTGTAACGATTAATCTAATTCAGCTTTTGGCTGCGATTTTAATCAGAAGACACGATCTATCTATCTATCTGGGATGGGTAAATAAAGTAAATTTGTCGAGTTTTCAACTCAAAAACATTTTAAGATTCGTGCTTGTGTGATTATCGCTCGAAGAGCAAAACATCTTGACTCCACACATGTTTACATATTCTCATTCAAACACATCTCTCGGCCCGTCAGAGCGTGCGCGTACTATCTTAGTTATTTATAAACGCTGTTATCAGCTGAGCAGTAGTCTTTAGGGCCTGTTTACATGGAGGTAGGGGACCCAGATAGGTGAAATAACATGCGGCGGGTCACCCCACTTATCATGTAAACGTGATCAAATTTAAATGAGAGATTATGTGGACAGGAGGGTTACCCACCAAAGCAGGTTACCTCACCTACCTGGGGTCCCCCACCTCCATGTAAACAGGCCCATATAGACTTCTCGCTTTTTGTTCTTAATATTTTAGCTGATTAGATCTCTTTTCTAGAGGTCCAACGTTGACAAGCAACAGGATCTTCGTCCACGCTTTTTGCAGTAAATTTCTATAACAAAAAATAATGAAGTATGAAAAACCTTTTAAGGCTTAAAGTTTTTTATTTTTATTTTGTCCCTCACAAGCAATTTATTTGTAAACGTCAAGTTACACAGTGCATAAGGAAATTTTTTCTCCAAAAATGCGGCGCTTATTTGAGGGCGGCGCTTAAAACCATTGTAAGCGCCGTGGCGCATATTAAATCCCCCCCAATGCCCGCTTATTTGAGTAATTACTGTAATTTGTAACTTAAGGGTTTATTACATTTAGGACAAAATGTTATTACATTTAGGGTCGTTTATTACATTTAGGCCTTCTACACATATCCTATCCTCAACACCAAGAAAGTGCCATTTTTAGTTCAGTACCTTTTGTTATATCCCTGACAAGGCAAACGCTTTCGTCGAAAAGAAGAGACCATTAATCTATATCTTTTATATCTTTTACCTACAGGAAAGAGAGGAAAGTAAACTATCAAAGAAGGCACAAGTGACCATAGAAATGGCCTCATTACGCCAGGCTGACGTCACACAGGACATGGCGTCGGTCAATCACAGTTTGTCTGAAGTAAGAAGGAAATGCCTCAGCCTTAGGCGGCCTTATCTCACGTCTTAAAGAAGGATGTAATGTAATACCTTTCTTCTTTACGTGCTTTGGGTGACGCTAAACGTGACCTTTATGTGAAAATATATCGCGTTACAACAGGAGTACCCAACGAACATTTTTCGCAAAATTGATTATACGATGTCGTAAACGCTAGCAAAGTGCTTTTACGTCAACCTATGTTAATATTTAACTTTCCTGGGAAAAAAATACCCGCTCTTCACTGCTAGCCAGCAAGACTTTCAGAAAATAAAAATCCCAGCTAGCAATCATGTTTGACGGTTTTTTGCCAGCCAGCAAGGTTAAAAAAACGAAAATTACGCAATCCCAGCCAGAGTGAAACGGAATTCGGTGTTTGCCAGCCAGCGGTAGCAGAAGTAAGTTATGAGCCAGCCAGCAAAGTTTCATTTAACACATTGCCAAGAAAAACATGTAAGTCAGCAGGCAAGATCTGTTTTACGTCAAATTTACATAATATAAACGAAAAGCGTGTTTAACCTGTTTCACCCTTTTATCTAGTTGTCGTTTTTTTTTTTTTGAGATATAGGGAAAAGATCATCCCTAAGTATTACATAACAATAACATAACAACTAAAGACATTCAGCGGTACTTACAGTTTTGCCAGGTAAACGATAAAGAGGAAGATCCCGAACTTTTTCCATAACACAATAAAACGTAAAAAAAGTGATCACCGAAAAGCCTTAAGACCAATGCATATTTTCCAACGATAATCGACTGAGGCGAAAAAAAGTTTAAGAATAAACAACATAACGAGTAAGCTCGATCTACGTGTGGTCTCCTCTGCAAAAACACTTCAAATTCAGTGTAGACACTGACATGCTTACCGCCAGCATTGTATGCCGTGCCTACTGTTATTCCGCAAAAAGTTTACAACAGAACTGATAGAAAGTTTCAAGTAAACAGGCTTTCCGTCGGAAAATTCTAACCGTTACGGCTGAAAACCACGGACCCAAAAAGTAAGGTAACTTTTGCGGTCTTTAACGCGAGTTTCAACGTGGGGAGGATGGTTTCCTCTTTCTTCATTTACGTAAACGCCTGACAGCAAACGAGGACCTTTCTGTTGCGGTATAAAAAAACAATGCTGTCCATGTTTTCAAATATGCTATGGCAACAGTTTACTTTTTAAAGCCAGACTGATAACGTGTTCTTGTAGTAACTTTCTCCGCACAAGTACTTGAAGAGCTTGTCATCCTGAGTTTGATCTTACTCACTCATTTTTTCTCTAGCCAAAAAGTCATAATGGTATGTCGTCAGACAATCACCACAAAAGTTTCGCAGCAAAAGCCAGTAGTCGTAGGTAGTCAGTCAGGCAATCACCGTAAAAGTTTCACACCAGAACTGGTGCAAAGTTTCGCAGCAAAAGCCAATAGTCGTATGTAAGTCAAGAATGTTTCGTTTTGCAGTCAGACAATCACCTATAAAGGCATGTAACCTTATGTCGTGCATGCGATGGTTGTGTGATGTCTATAAGTTATAGAATCGAAGCGCAGTTGAAACAAATGTAAGTAACATCACACCAAGGAAGGCAAGCTTTTTTTTGCTTTGGGTACAGAGACACGCACCAAAGTAAAATACATGCCACAATACCTTTATCAGTTTGCTTGAAGCACCGTCATAGTAAATTTGCGAACAACAACAGTACTTGAGTTTTAATACAGCTACAGAAAAATTCCTGTAGTTTTTGGCAATAAGACAATTTTAGGTGAAACCTTCTTCGGTACGTTTAAAAATCGAGTTGAAGACGGCAAACGTGACGTAACTGCGTCCTACTGCGTATCTCGCGCTTCGCGCTCGCGCCTCTTTTGCGCAGGCTACGGTTGAATTGTAAGGGCGATTATTTTGTAGAAAGCAATAACTTCATGATAACCAGAAGAAAATAAAAACTCCGAAGAAAAATATCCTGTTCTTCACGACAAATGGTTACAAAAAGAGCAACATAGTTGTCTATTAATTTGTTTATTCAATAGTCCAGTTTAAACCCTGCTTGCAGCAATTTTAGGAAAATGTGTAAAATACTGTTCACATTTGTAATTTTCTTTCATTTTTTGGCAAAAAAATTGTGAACTATTTTTTATTCTTTTTTTCTACATTGGCCAAAGAGCCTCTCAAACGTAACCATGGCCGGTAACGCCTGCTGTCAAATTTGAGGTCCTACAGCTGGGAAACATCACCAAAAAAGTGTAATCTGAGTCACTGTGTTCGAAGATATGAATAAATTTACTAACAGAGCTGTTACAATTTATACGATAAAAAGCTTTAAGAGCAAGAAATGCCTCAGCGTCAAAACAGATACTAGTATGAAAGTCAAAGAATGATAGCCGTTCGGGATTTACTCCGCTGTACTACAATTTACTAGACAGACGTTAGCATTGAAATGCAACGGCACACTTGCCTTTTTTAAAAACAACAGTTACTATAACGAACGCGAAATACGTCAATATACGGGTAGTACAAACGTAAAATCTTCCTACCTTTTCCGATCCTAACAGATACCTGTGCAGTTGCTAAACGCCTTCCAAATGACCATAGATCGAGGAGGCTTCCCGTCCCGGTGAGCACATAACAAAAGAGAAATTGGTTCCAACAGAAATATTCCAGAGCGCGCAAACCTGGACAACATTGCAAACGAGCATACCAAATGAAATCAGTTCTGAGTTCACTCCGCTAAGAGACCAGAGTGTATTATTTATTGGACAGAGTTTTTGTATTCAATCGTCTCAATATTTGATGGCATTTATGTGCATTAGCGAATGTTCTTAATTCGATACACATGCAAGGCAACCTGACAAAGAAACACAACCATTTTGCTTACCTTTTGGGGTTTGCGAATTGTAAACGTTAGATAAAGACAAATTTCATCTTTTGCGCACTAAATTCCTGTTCTATTAAGTCTTGTTCTCGGGCCAGTGGAATTTCATCGTTTTATCACATTTTCCCCAAGCTCACAAGTGAGAATAATACCAATTTCAGCACTGAAGTACATGTATCAACTCGGAGGTATGGAGTGCTCTTGCATACGCACTCGCCTCGGCAGTAAAGGATCTTTGATACACGGCTTTGTCCGTTCATCGGCTCGACGGTTATGCCATGCTTATGAGACCCAACAAAGCGAGACAGCTGTTTATGGCTGCCACTGCCCGGATGATATGGTTGTGCGCATGCCTAGGGTACTGTTCATACTGCGGAGCCGGTACGTGTTCTTCAGTGCTGTAATTGGCATATTGTTAAGGAGTGAGAATCGGTTTTGCGTAACCTTTCATAAAGGTTTGTATGGCGGTTCGAGTGATTGCAATTTAGGAGCCACAAATAGTAATAAAGATACACAGGGGCACCCAACGACTGTTTTCTGTAAAATATCTGTTCGGAGAAACAAATATTTCCCAGAATTTTCTATTGCTTGAGGACGGCTACAAATTTCTAGATGACTGTTCCATTCATGTACAATTTTCGCATTTCACTCCCCAAGTAATGCTGCTTTTCGTAGAAAAAGGAAACCTAAAATTTTCGGATTAAAAATGCGATTGAGAGAGCAATGAGAAAAATTTACACTTTTGTAAAAGGATAAATTGCATCTAAAATTTTCGGGAAAGTAATTCTGAAGCCCCTGTAATTTCGAAAAGACCCAAAGTCCCCTTCGATGACTCAACAAATACAAATTTTATTGCGCCGCTTAGAATGTATTTCTAGAGTCCAAAATCTACTCTGGATTGTCTGAAAAGTGTTTTGAACGTATTTGTATAGGTAATAGCATGATTTGTAGTGATATTTGGCATAAATACCACGAGTGATATTTCAAAATTGTTAGACATAATTTCACGAGCCGTTAGGCGAGTGAAATTTGAGACAATTCTGAAATATCACGAGTGGTATTTATGCCAAATATCACGTACAAATCATGTTATTATTTGTTTATACTACTACCCTTAGAAGGTTTGTAATTTTCACATGTAGGTATTTCAAATTAAGCTGAAATACTACTGCTCTAAGCCAATCAAATTGCAGAAATTTCTCATGTAGTAGTATAAAGGAGGAAATCGTCGCTGGTCCCCCTGGATACAGTAGAATAGGCTAACCTTGACTCCATGTTTTAATGACTGCGTTGCAGACAAAGACTGCGACACAAATTTTCAATACAGGGTAACACTTTTTCTACTTGTAAATGCCATCGTCATTTTCTTTATCATTTAGCAAAGTTTCGCCATTGAGGATGAAGTTAAGGCAGATGAACATTCTGCACACCAGGAGCAAGTAGACATTGCAGTGTCTCCTCCACAAAACAGCAAAGATGCCGTTCTTGAAGTGATTCCATCGACTTCCACTGAAGTAGATGTAAGATGAAAATAAAAACACCACAAAAACTATTCACTACTAAAGAAAAATGCCACTAGGGCACCTCATTATGTTAGGTTTGAGGTTAGAAGAACACAACAACCTAGTAAACTTGGGTCCCCTGCGCCACTGAAGTTTTTCGTCGTTCGTGTACCCATCCTGTGCTGTCTTGAATTACATCACAACCTCCTACGTTCATTCTCTTGAGCTATTTTCAGTTTCGGGATTGTCACTTCCACTTTTTAAGCAAAAATACATGCTAAAAACTAAGAACACATACATTTAAAAACATTCAAAATGCTGAAAGAGTTGAAAAGCTTAAATTTCCGTATAAAATTTTCAATTTAAACGCAGATAAACGTCGTCATTGATTACTTCCAACAGATAATACCAAACGTTGCCTCGTTTTTGGCTCGAACAAATGTCAGTCTTTTTTTTATCTTTCGGTCTGTTAGTTACTTATTTACTAATAACTTGAGAGTTCTGCTGTTTCAACCCAAAACAATATTTGACTGTAGGATAAGCAATTCAAAGTAACCGAGAAAGAACTGCTTCCCAGCACATCAGCATCACCAGGACAAAGACAAGCTTCTGCTATGTCACTTTCAAACGATAACCTACAAGAGTCAGACGACGAAGACATAGAGGAGGGCTTTTCTACCAAACAACTGTTTTCCTTTGCTTGGCAAATAGCTAAAGGAATGGTAATTTGATCGTATTTTATAGATAATGTTGCTTTGATTTTGATTCTGAGTATAACAAGGCACAGGAAATTCAAAAGTCAATATTGTATAAGCACGAAGTAGATGGGATAATTAAATTGATTGTTTTTCTAGATATGAGGACAGTTTTTCTTTCATTTAAATGGGTTAGATGAAAAAATTTTCTAAGTCGATCGGTCGACCCAGTTTCGTTACGCATCTGGACGTAAATATCTGGATCAGATCAGTGCTTAATTTGTCTCGTATTTTTTAACTTCAACTAACCGCTTAGTGTTCGGGGTACTCCCGTTAACTCATTATGGTTTGAGATAATTTTAATTGTGTTTTTCGTTTCCTATTTGTTATTAGAATCATCTCGCAGAAAACAATCTTGTTCACAGAGACCTTGCTGCCCGTAATGTTCTTGTTGGCCATGACAACCAGATTAAAGTGTCAGACTTTGGGTTGATGAAACAAATTTATGAAGATGTGTGCCACTCAGAGAAGTCTATAAAACTTCCTGTAAAATGGATGGCCCCAGAATCACTTTACCAAGGCGTTTACACGACCAAAAGTGACGTGTGAGTTAGCGATTCCCTCTCCCTTGACAAGGAAATCACGCCTGATTGAAACGTTTCTACTACTGTAATCACTTCTCTAGCCTGCGAAAACATCCGTTTCTCCTCGCTCTTCGCCACTGAGGACGTCTCGCGAGGAGGAACGTCTGCGTTTCAGCGACAGAAAATTCCATACTGATGACGTAAAATCTGTCCGGAATCCGGTGAGAAGCGCTGAATGGTAGACGGAGTAGACAAAAGACAAAAGGCCACAAAGGTCAGATGTAAACGCGAAGAATCTCTGGCAAAACAGTCAACAATTATGGAATATAGTGTTCTCTCAAAGGAGCATTTGAGTTTTCCTGCAGCTCGTTGACAGATGAACACAACACTTTACCAGAATCGACCAGAAGACAAGTAAAATTGTACAAATTCATATTTGGAACCCCATGACTACCGGATTTATTATGAAAACATTGATTTGCGTCATCAGTATGGAATTTCTGCCCTGAGTCGCAGACGTTCCTCCGCGCGAAACGTCCCCAGCGGCGAAGAGCTAGTGAGAAACGGATGTTTTTGCAGGCTATCAATACTCAAAAACGTAGTTGCCGTAAACTAGAGAGCTTCAGATTTGAGGACGAGTACGACTACGAGTACGAGATTTTCTCAGTACTAAGTAGTGGGCGCGCGTGAACCAGAGTCATTTTGGCGGGAAAACGTGATAGTCGTCTTCATTCTACTACGAGTTTTAGAGAGAATGTCGTGTTAGCGGACACAGGTGCAACACGGAGATAATTCAATTAATTCATTCTTAGCCTAAACTCCCCTTTTTTGTTTATAACAATGCTGGGGTTAAAAGGCGTGCAATCAAAAGCACAATTTTTTTGCCCAAATATAGAGTCAGAAAATTGAAAGAATCCCTGTCTAAAAATAGCTAAAAAGAGGATTCTTCTAATCCTTTACAATTCTCCAGTTACATGCAAAACTCAAAATTACACGCTGAGCCTTTCAGATCTGTTATATGATAATCACCAGACAAAAAAAATTTACATCTACAGGCAGTGGAGCCGACAAGTAATAATTTTCTTTGCTAAGACTTTCCGTAAAAAAATCCTCTTGCTCGATAACTAGTTTTCCGTGCATTGTAAAACATTGTATATAGAGGATATTACACGGTGGCGCGAAGATATGAATTTTATTTTCTCGTAGCATAAACAATATTTTACTCACTCGCTGCGCTCGTTCGTAAAATATTGTTTTGCCACTCGAAAATAAAATTCATATCTTCAAGCCGCCGTGTAATGTTCTTTTTATAATATAGACAAAACGACATCGATAAAAGAATAGATTCAGTTATTCGCCAAAAAGAAATTATGACGGCTCAAATTTACAGTACAGCAATATAAGACATTGGTTACAATAATCCCGAGAAATAACACTGAGCTGAATAGGGCTCTACAATGACAAAATATAAGCAAAGCTTTGAAAAATGTGTAAGTAAATTCAAAAGACGTAAGACGTCTACAAATTTCGAAGGGAAATTACCGAAATTACGTCATCGATAAACTCACGTGTGAGGTTATGGAAAATAAACCACTCGGGTCCTGGACTTATGAACTTTATGAGTGGTATATTTTCCAGCAAAACACTCGTGTCTATATAACAAATGTTATTCTGAACGGCTTTTGTACATTTCTTTTAATATTAAGGTCGCAACTTCAGAAACCTACGAGGTGAAAACAAATATATATATAATATAGTCTTGTAATGTTGACGCATACTCTTATGGGCGCTCGCTAGCTTTCATGAAAAGTACGTTAAGCGAGGTCCGTACTAATATGGAATTACTGATAGCCGAGACTTGTCGCGCGAATGCTTAGGAAAACTTTGTATTGCGATGTAAACGGTGCGCTACAAAGACCAATTACAGTTTCACTAGTTTTACGAAGTAAAATTCGACCAAAATCGGAATATTATTCCCAGAATGGCCAGGATTGACTTCCCTCGGACAAGAAAACGTCGGCTACTCATAAGAAGCATCTTAGGTAAATTTTGTTCGGTTCACCAAAAAAAAGACCCTGAAATCCTCATCAGTAATTTCAACGCCTGGGCCATTACAGATTTGACTTTGGTATAGGTAGGCGACTATCTGTTAGTAGGTTAAAACCAAACCTGTGAAACTGATTCTTGTGGCTTCTTCGTACTTAGTCCAAAAGTGTCTGTCAGGGATGGAATTTCAGCCAATTATCCGAAACGTAGTTCGCATGGTCCTGAGCAAGAGCGGCGCCGTTTGAATTTAATTCAAACTGATATCAAATCATCACTTAGAAGTTATTCTCTTTTCTGGTTAATTAGTTGCTGGTAGATGTTAACGATCTACTTGAGATTGTGGGTCTATCAATTCTAGCGCTCCCTTTTCCCTTCTGTTCCCGTTGCTTTGACAAAGGAGTGTAGTTTGGTTACCTGAGTTTGCTGCCCTTGTTTGTCTAAAACCTGAGGGAAAACCTTTTTCGAGGCGAATGCTGGTAGATTATTCATTGCCTTTCCGTTTTCTCGACACAAAATTCTAAGAACACGACAATTGAGGTCATACCTGGTATTATTTAATTCAATCAAACGTGATGCGCGAAAGGATTGGCACTCGCATTTTTTCGTTCGTCCATCAAATAAAAGAAAAAACGATAAAGACGGCAATAAACAAATTAAATGCGGTGAATCTGTACATTGTTATAACCCCTTTGTGCTTTTTTTGATAGTTGGTCTTTTGGTGTTGTTCTTTGGGAGATGGCTACATTGGGTAAGCGGATCATTTTACGGTTCATACTTATCATTTTAAACTTAAAGTTAATTAACAAATGGACAAAAATTTTCCATGGTATGTAACTCTTATACTATAAAAATGAAAATTAGAAACTCAAGTGGAGCCATTTTTTTTTTCGGGAAAATCGCGCGGTAAATAAATTGCGCCATCTGTCACATTGTCGACCAAGCAGCGCCGTTCGAAAAATTGTTTTTACTGTTATCGTAAAATCTTGTCACACATTAACGCATCCAAGGAACCCTGTTCCCCTTTTTTGCCATGGTGGGATGTGACTTAACTTGTATGATTGTTATTAAGGTTACTGCTACCAGGAAACTAGCTGGTTTCCTTTAGCGTAACGTTTCATTTGCGGCAAGCTGGACTTTTTGTTTTGTCTGATCTGAGCTCTGTTAATTTTAAGTGATGTAAGCACAGCTCCTAGATGAAAACTATATGTGACAATACATTGTATTTGCGAGCATTGAAAGTTATTGGAAAAAAAGAAGCCTTATTATTAAGCACCTGCTTTCTTTTTTGACACATTTGAGTGCATTGGCCATCAGACCACCATTCAAATAACATTTTTTGCAAAATGGCATTATTGAATATGGGGATTATAGCATCTTGAATAGAAAGTTATTCAATGATATCTAACTAATCAGTTGTCGATATGTAATTATTATATTTGTCTTTCTCGCAATCGCCAGGAGGTGTACCATATCCCACGCTGACCAACTCAGAGCTGTATCGACTGCTCAGTACAGGTTATCGCATGGAAAGGCCTGACATGTGCTCCGATGACGTGTACGTTTCTTGATCAGGGTCGTCTTAGAATTAACAATTAGATTCAACTTAAGTTTTCCGTGCCTCTGTTCAGTTACAATTCACAGCGAACGTTGCAACATACGAATTCGTCAAATATGTTAACGCCCTCCATGATCATATCAAATACTGACCAGACGGACGGCAAGGGTAAACATTTGTTGGGATCCTCACTTTTTTAACAAGGAAACAACTAGACCACATTTTCAAAACCATTTGCCATTTCAGATAAAGCAGATAGCACATTGTAAGTTTTGCTCTAAACCCTCCAAGCTTTATGGCCAATAAGGGCACCATTAAAAGTGATTAAGTTATTATAATCTCTTTCCTGGGGCTGGGAGGAGTACTCCCTATAATGGCCTGTACGGGGAGGCTCCGCCCGAAAGGGGTCCCTTTCTCAGTCTTCTGGTACAGGAATTTCGCTAGTCGAAGTATATGAAAGGGTATTAGGTAATTCTGTCATTTCGGTCTGTAAAATGACCTAAGAGGGCTACAGAAGGATTTTTTGGCTTTGAAAAAGTAGAGAAAATTTTCTAGTTTAGTGATTTAACTCATATCTGACTCATATTTAAAAGGACGTGCTTTTACAGCTGTTAAAAGGGATAAAAAGTTCTCTGGACTAGATATGTGAAAGGGGTACAGTACCACTTATCAGTAGAATGTATAGGAAAAGGGTACCTTCTCTGTCAAAAAATAATGATAATACAAAATGGTAAGGGGTTGGATCTCGGGGCGGAGCCTTCCCAGATCTCTTTACAAAATAATGAGTGGATGAAGGAATGGGGAATCACGTGATAACCCAAACGTTCCAGGAGCCCATTTTATTGGGCTTTACGTGGAAGCTTCACCCAAAAGGAGTGCGTTTTTAGGCCACATATACGTGGAAAGATAGCACGATTATGAAATGTGTGAAATGGTAGGAAATTTTGTCACTTCGGTAATGTACATTAAAATATATGTTAAATACAAGCACCTTCTATTGTATACTAGTATACTTCCCTTAAGGGCTTAAGAAAGTGAAAAAGTCGTGCCATTTTTCAGGGTGGGCAGGAAAGGAATGTATATGAAAGAGGTACCTTTTCTGTCAAAAATGCTGTATAAAAGGGGTTGGACCTCAGGGTGGAGCCTCCCTGTAAACTCATGAAGCTAAGAAGCCTATATATTCTACTAGAAAATTTTCTTTTATTCCAATAGACCTCTTTCGCTTGTACGTTTTGTTTCCCAATACAGGTCATGTGATAATACTCCAAGGAACTGTTTCTTTCAAATTTCGTGTTATTCAAGTGCATATGTATGCATAGTAGACAAAGGGTCAAATTCCCCTGGGACCGCCATTGGGAAAACAAAACATACAAGCTATAAACTGGCTTATATATTGACACGGTCTAATAATTGACTGGAGCTCTAGTTAATTAGCATTGAATGGTTCTATTTTTTTTCCTGTTCATAACAGATATGAACTGATTTCTGACTGTTGGAACGAAGACCCTTACATTCGTCCCAGTTTCTTCCGGTTGATCGAAAAACTGGAGGCGATAATGGAAAGGGATGCACCATATTTGAATGTAAACAAACACAATGAAGATCGTCCGTATTACAACGTGCCTCCTCAAGCTAGTGCTGATTAATATGGAGAAGAAGGAGCATCCCCAATAATCGGACAGTTTAAGACGGAACGAGTATAAATAGTAAATGCATAATTATTGACTTAAAAACTAAGCTAAGAAAATACTGAAAGAATTGAAACAAACATAAAAAGAGCTTTAGGTGTAAAAAAAAAGTGTAACAGTGAGGCCCTCCAGATCAAAACAGGAGCCCATCATCCAGGAATGTAAATCTCCCTTATAGCGTGTTAAGATTTTTACTAGGCTAGTATAGACTAATCTTTCACGCAGAGAAAAAAGCGGGGCTGAGTAGGATTTCCAGCAACCAGCGTATGCGATCAAATAAGTATAAAGCTATTAACGTAAAGCTATTAACAGTGATTAAGGTTTTAACTGAATGACGAGCCTTAAAAGTAAGCCACTAACTGAGAAGATAGCTGAAGATCAACCGCCATGTTGGATTTCAGCGAAGTTGTTTTTAGTGTACGGCGAATTTTTCGTAAACGATTGTATTTATTACTGTCAGTAGTGTAAATTATAAACGGAGAGGTTTAAATAAGAATCTAGGGATTACATATTTAAACATTGTTTTAATGCTTTGCAAAATGCTTATTAGATATAGACTGGCTGAAATACCTGTAACGCTATCAGTATGATTAAAATAACATTGTTCCGCTGTAGACTTGCTTTATACTTTGGTATTTCTCATCTCAAATTAGTAATCATGTAAATGGTTTGACCAATGAATGACTGCATGACCTGATAAGTCATTAACGTCGCGGTACTCCTTTGTTTGTCCGTCAGCTAAGCCATGGTGCCTCAGGGTCATAAAAAAAAAAACAAACAAAAACAACAACAACAACAAAAAACCAAACCGTCCTTTGTCATGGTTATATCTCAGACTCGTACCCAGCGCTATTTATGTGTTTTGGGGGTGAGAGAAAATTGGGGGTTAGGTTAAGGCGCGCGAATTGCTGAAGTGCTGGCCCCAGTTGTTCAAAACGTGGATAAAGCTATCCACTGGTTATAAATCTCTATCTAGTGGATAACGCAATCAGTTTCCCTAATACTTATCCACTGGATAGTGATTTATTCGGTGGATAGCGCTATCCATCGTTTGAACAACCGGAGCCTGGTCGGCGATTTTTTTCTCGCGCTTTGGCCACTCGCTTTCGCGGGTTCCAATCGGAAAAAACCTCTGGCACCCTGTGTGGTGAAAGACCAAATAACATTTTGCAAAGGCTTTTCTGGGTTAATGGCTGGAAGAAGGCGTTCTAACACGTTAACTATATTTACCTCTTTAAACTATTATTTTTAATAAGTAATTTTCCACTTTTCAGCTCTAATTCCCCGCCAATGCACATATGACTATATTTTGGCTGTCTTATGGTATTAGGAAAACTTCAAGGATTCAGCGTAGTCTAAGAAAATAGACTCAACGGAAAGCTTCATTTTCCCAATTTTTTTTTCTTAACCAGGGCGAAAGTTGTTGAAGGATAACCCAGGGTTACTGCGAAATTTGAATTCAGGAATGAAAGCTTTAAAAGTAATTCAGTTTTCGACAGTTTAATCATTTTTTCATGTGATGGATGCCCTAAAAAGAATAGACTGAGGAAATTATCCCGGAAAATGCTTTTTGTCCTCTCGTGACTTCGTCGTTCGCTCGCTCAGAAACTCATGAGGTTGACTTGTAGCAAGGCTGAATGCTTTTGAAGAAAAGGAAAAGAAACGCAGATTAAAAATTAACCCCATCTTAGCGCTAATCGGCCTTCGAAGAACTGGGCCCAGAAAACTAGCACGGTTGTTTTTATTGAAGAAGATTAAGAAGAGTCCTTTTCCAATTGTCGTCGCTTGTGTACGTCCGCCACAAAATTTGGAATTAGGCAATTAGTTTCACGTCGTAGTCGTACAGGGGCAGCCTAAGTTAAGATTTAGTAGAAAACGAATTTACAGGAGTCTTCATTTTAAAACAGAATTGAAAATCGGCAGTAGCCCTGGATTAGCTTAACCTTGTTTAGAACAAAGCGACCTCGGTTTAGTAAATCAGATCAATTCACATTTCAACACAGGCAACCCAAACTCAAATTACGAGGAAAGGGTGTACAATAATTTAGTACATACAATCAGGAGCTGACAGTGAGCCGATTACTTATATCGGCTCCTGATACCATACGTGTGCGTCACGAGATTCGACCTATCAGAATGCGCTATTTGTAATCAAAAAGAGTGATTTTCGCACTTGGAAAGAGTCGTTTTTAGAGTTGTATATGGTGAAATTTTCAATTTATTCCATGCAAGCTTGGATAGGTAATTTCGACATTGATACCGCCTTGGAAATTTTTTGGAACACTTTATCTTGATAGTAGTTACGTTACTTTTAAATATTTTGCTTTCTTGAGATTTTGAGACAAGTTTGAATTGCTCGGTCATATGTGAAAACCGCCACGATGATTTGAGTGTTATTTTCGCCGTTCCTATTGGATTTATTGCTGGTTACTGTTAGCGGTTTTATCGGATTATTTTGGTCATCTCGTTAGTTCAACCTTTCTTCTTTGTAAATTTTGGGGTCCACACGGGTCTGTCCCTGATAGTTTGCCCGTTATGAAACGTTGAAAGTGTCTTGGATTGAAGAGATCGTCTCAGCCAAGTAGAACAACTTTCGGAAAACGGGCTGAGGAAACATACCGAAACGGAAGCCGACGAGAAGCGAGTAACGCCACCAAATGCAGCGTTCGTTCCATTTTAAACCAGAATAGGTAAATAAGTTTGAATATTGTGATAACCTTTGGAAACAAAACATTTTTCATAACGCAGTGCGGAAACTAAAAGCGTGTCTCCTAAATAATTTGCATGTCCTGTGTGCTATGAGGTTATAAATCTCTACCAAAACACGAAACCGTTATCGAAGATCTAGAAAACATCATACAGGATTTTAAAACTGTGAGATTAGGTTTGTAACAGAATCGATACACTGCGCTTTCTTCAATGAACGCACAGACCAGATCGTGGTTTATTTCTGGGCGCGTAGCTTTGGTGAAATTGCCATTATGCTGTAGCTGTTCGGCTCTTTTGGTCTGTTTTTCCCTCGCCCAACAGAAGATTTATTTGCGCATAAGGAATAAAAACAGGTACTAACTGTTTGCAAAATAAAATATACTTGTCGATGAAAATAAAAATGTCAGGGGCACCCAACGAGAATATAGTTCAAAACCACTTAAACATAGCATTGTTAAACGTATTTTAGTATTTAAACGGTAGATATAGGGATATTTTTATCCCCTAAAAATTTTTCATCTGTTCGGATTTCCTAGCTGAAAGTCTCGAGATCCGAAAATCATAGGGATCAAAACTTACCTTTTCGAAAATTTCAGCCAGAAAAAAGGCTCCCGAAAATTCTAGGTGAGCTTTTTAGGGTAAAAATCCGTTAAAAATGGGCAATTACACCAATTTTTAGATGTTCGAAAATCCTAGGAGAGGTAGGCAAGCAAGAAATTTTACAAAAAGTGTTCCGAAAATTCTAGATCTCAAATCGTCTTCCGAACAGATATTTTCCGAAAATTGACGTTGGGTGCCCCTGAACTGTTACATATGAGAGATATGCAAGATTTGTCACCTTGCTCTTTGTTTGCGCTCCCCATCCGTACCCGGTAATAAAGTCCATCAAACACTACTAATGGACGATTTTTTTTTTAATTTATTTAAGCAAATCTAAGTATGAACTACAGATCTCTTTCACTTTGAGATAAAAATATACATAGAAAAACAGCGGAAGCACGAAATCGCCACTTAAAATAGGCTAAAATCTCACCTTCGATCACCTCCGAATCGGTCGCGATGAACTTATTGAAATTTCCTTATGAAGCCAATAAGCAAGAATATAAGGCCACTACGAGATCTTGAAAATTCTCCAAATCGCTCTCTTCCGTAATGTGTTTCAGAAAATAAGGAAGCCGTGTTTTGATTCATCTCTCTCACGAGATGTGTACTCGATCGTTGCCATATAACCCTATAATGCCAGTCTTATCTCAGCTTCACTGGCTGCCGATTAAGTACCGCTTGGAGTTTAAATTTTTTCTTATTACTTCAAAAGCTATTCACGGCATGGCCCCTGATTATATCTGCAGATTGATCAGCCGGACAACATCAACCAGATATTCCCTTAGATTCAGCGAAAAATTATGCTGGAGGTTCCTATGCAAGGGGCAGCCCCGAAGCTCTGGAACATTCTTCCCAGTAAAATATCCAGTGTTTCTCTTTCAAATTTTAAATGCCAGTGTTAAAACATATCTTTTAGAGAAGCTTTTAATTTGTAGTAGAGTATTTATTTTGTTTATTTTATTATTTATTTTATTATCATTATTTTTTAGATCTTTTACCTGTTAGTAATTTTTTATTCATTTTTATTCTTTTAAACTTACTGTTAAGCGCAGTAGAGTAGTAGGGTATTAATAATTCGTTTATTATTATTATCATTATTATTGTTATTATTATTATTATTATTATTATTATTATTATTATTATTATTATTATTAGTATTACATCTATTATCATTTAGTCTTTTTCTCTGCTTGTACATTTTATTCATTTTTGTTCTGTTTGGCTTAATGTAAAGCGCATTAAGGAAAATTGCACACTGATAAGTTTCAATTAATTGTACAGTCAAACCTCTCGGTACAGACACCTCTCTATTACTGACAGTTTCCAATGTCCCGAGAAAATTTTCCTATATTTTCTATAATACGGACAACGGACAGTAAATCTCGGCCCCAGAGAGTAAATTCATATACACTTAACCTCTTTATTACGGACACTACGGTGATCAGGTGAATCCCGATCAGGTGAATCTGCACACGGTGAATCTCGTCTAGTCTGGCTGATGAGCTATGCAAGGTGCGAGTTTAAAGCCCAGTCGCCGGTATACCAAACAATGATTTTCGAACGGTGTACAGAGGAACATAACCGACTTTTTGAAGGCTTCGATAACTACAGATAATACTAAGATCTTTTCTATTACATTTTAATCTCTCGTTAGTATTTACTGCACTTGCAAAATAGCGAAAGACGCTTTCAGAATTGCCGGCTTTACGTTGCAAGTTTTTGCATGCAGCATTGCGCTGTAGCTCGTTTCGTTTTAAAACAGTAATTGGTCTGTAGCTGAGATGTGAAATGTTGTATGCTACTGGAAGACAGAGTCTTTGTACTTAATAACTTAAAATGCAGTTTAATTGGCTTCAGGGGTCGCCGAAATCTTGAGCTTGAAGAACTGTGACCAAAGAAATTTCGCGAAAAATTGTGTTACTTCCGATTGCTCCCAAATTTGGCTCACAGGAAGTTAATAGATTTAGCCAATCACCTGCCTAGTTCCAGCCTCTGTGGACTTTTGACCATCACGCACCGAGCTGTCTAAAATTTTGAATTTTATGGCGAATGAAAGCTTGTGTCGGCGAATGTCAACCAAATACAAGTCAAGCAAACTATTCTGAAGGATTTTGGAGGATAACAAGCAAAATAAACGCGAAAATTGAGGTAAGGAAACACTTAGAATCTGTGCATGCAAATCGCCGATCGCCGAACTCTGTGCCACATGTTCTTGAAACGGCGACGATTTCCTTCCCGTTTTGCCTTCGCTTCCCTTTTTGCCGTCAAATTCTTGCTTATTTTGATGAATTCTATCAGCAAATTCATGTCTGCTTGTCTCTAACTCGATATTTTTTTGGGAATCGAGGAAACAAAGCGTCTTAGTGAAGGAAACATGGGGTCACGAGGTGACGCCAAGGGATTACGCTAATTATGATAATCTAATTAGCATAATTATGACAGCGTGCAGAAAAAAAATTGTAGAAAATTTCTAGTCGCTCCATATTTTAGAACGATTTTCGGGTTTTTTTGCTTAGATATTGATGAAAAAAAATTTCTTACCACTGATCACCCAAAATAAAGATGTTTCCTAGCTAAATGACATTCTTTAAAAAAATTTTAATGCAAAATATGCATTTTTAATTTTTTTGTGGTGGAATATTATGAGTTTCCTACGACCGAAATATATTTTTTTCAAAAGGGTATTCTTTTCCCTTTCCAATGAGGTATAGCTTGATATTGAACTGTAAATAACACCAGAGATATGATTTTTTAAAGTTACATGGCAAAACACATTAAAATAATTTGCTGAAGACAATGAGTTTTAATTAATTAAATTAAAGACGAGTGTAAGCCTGCTTTTAGCTACTGAAAACTGAAAGTGGAGTCATAAAAGTGACGTCAGCATAGTGACGGAAATTTAGGCCCGTTTTCAAGACGAATAGATTCCGTAATAGTTTTGTTACGTCCAACGCCCTCAAAACTTAAACGGTGTTCCCGATATATAGCTTGAGAAGTTTCGATTGCTTTTTATCAAGTCGATTTGGTTTTTTTATTTTTTTTTAACAAAATAATCGCAATTTTACTGTTACAGTTGTTGTGATGTTGGAAACTGCCAATATATCTGCTTTTTCTCAGCGCTGGGGTTTTAATAATTTCGTTTGGATATTGCAAGAAAGAGTCATCGTCGCTTTTTTTCATCGCCGTCATCGCAGTCGTTTAAGAAATTTACACTTCTGTGGCTTGTGACTCTGGCGATATGTGAGCGTACAATGTTTGCTGTCTGTTGTTTTTCTTGCACTATCATGCATTCGTGAACTTTTTTCTCACTTTAAACTTCAAGGCTAGTATCATTTACAGATTCTTTTCATTATCGGTTACTTGCGGTTACTTATGGTATTTTCGCCCTTTGGTTTAGTTTGAACCAGATGTTTGTCATCAAGTTTTTGGTTTCATTTGATACTGATCAGGTAGAAAGAACTACGGCACCATCTCTACCCTTTTTTACCTGTTGTTTGTGGCAAAAATTGAGCGGCGAATCCGCGATTGTGATGAGCGGGAGAAAAAAAACCCTCTGGTCTCGGCAGTTACGAACCTCACTTCCATGAGTACAGATTTTGAACTTGGTCGCTGATTGGTGTTTGAATTTAGCCTGAGACCTTTCCGAGTGATAATGATAACAAGAACTCTCATTGGCCGAATCTCTGGAATGCTCCTGGGGAGCCCTAAAAACCGGTTTTTTGGCTCGAAGAAACTTCAAACAAAGAAAAAGGTGGACGATGGTAGCGAATTCTAGCGAGCCTTTTGTGGTGCAGTACAATTTGCGTTGGATAGTGGTTTTTCCAATATTCTTTCAAGAGTTGAAACCTGTCCAGGAAGAAGCCTCGCTCCACTTCATCAAGCGAAAAGATGTGTTTGCAGTGCTTCCAGCTGGATGCGGGAATTCTCTGATCTTTCAAATTGTTCCAAGGGTATGTGCATATTTGCACGATCGAGAGTTCAACTATCCTAAAGCAGCCGTCTTAGTTGTCGTTTGCCCGTTGACCACCTTGATTGATGCACACATAATACATCAGTCAATTCCACCTGCGCCCAGCCTCCCTCCCCCCCCACGGGGCTGACCCCCTGGCATTAGCATTTTTTTTGGCCTTGGATGGCAAATTACCGGGGGTGGGGACTCTTGAGCTGTCAAATTCCCCAGGGTGGGGACGAAAAAAGAGGGCAAATGCCCCGTCCTCTGTCGACACTGCAACATTTTTCATTGATTGCAAGTCAAATAGTGCTGTTTTAAGCATTTTAATGTGCGATTTTTTGGTTTAATTAACGTCTTCCTTTGTAATAGCGCGAGGATTCTAATTAAGACTTCACGCCGCGACGACATGCACCAGTTTAGGGTTTTAGTATTGGTATAAAATTATTGACATTAAAATTAATAGAGCGCTGTAAAGTTATATGTTATGAATAGTTTTATAAATATGAAAGGATGTTCTTCAAATAATATCAACAGAAATTTGATTCAATGACCAAAAAACGTCGATTCACATCGATAGCTCCAATTTCGCTATGTAATTCTGGCTTGATAAGCAATGAAGAAATGAATACATACATGTAAAATTGAGAACATGCCGTTACAACCCTCTACAATTTATTCCTGTCCTTTACAAATGAGCCAATCTGCTTGTCTTCCAGTAAAACCTTCCTTGTAGCTATGTTCTGATAGGAAACCGTGTGCGTGTCAAAAGCTCGGGATTGGCCCAGGGGTTGGCAAATGCCCGGCCCCCAGGCAATGCAACATTTGCAAATGCCCCACCCCCGGGACTGACAAGGCAGGTAAGTGCCCCGCAGTTGCCCGGGGGGGTGGGGGGGGGGGAGCTGGGCGCAGGTGGAATTGACTGATGCATAAAAGAGCTCAAAGATCATGCAAAACTTGCAAACACAAAAATTATTGCCGCTCAATTCGCCGCAAAGAAAACTCGGAAATTATTCATAGCCGTAAGCTTATAGGTTCATTCAAAGCGATATCAATTTTTCCCACCTTAATGGAAAAAGTAATTCTCTTGGATTTGTCAGGGACCACTAAGTGGTCGTTGACTTGAAGTTCTGGCGGTAACACATTTTTTTTCTCAACACATTATTTTTTTTTTCTCAACACATTTTTTGTCTCAACAAAGATTTCGGCAGAACACTAACTTGGACGAGAGTTAAATGTGGACTTCTTCCTGGCAGGACTGCTTGAAGTTGGCGAACGTTTGTGGCACCTTTACACCCTGTTCACGTGAGTTCCCTGTTCTGTCATTTCTATCTGCTCCTTGAGCATCTGATCAGCCTTCTCGGACGAAGAAGAGCTCTCCTTGTTGACGGGAAATCCCAGCACAGATGACAACTTTGCGGCTATACTTTGTGCTCCTTGGAACGCACCCCGTCAAATAAGTTGAACTTTCCATATCCAGATATTATATATCAAAATTTACATTACACACACTGCAAAAATTATTTACACTGTATACACTATTTACAGACGTCAATCTTTTCACCGGAGTTATCGAAACACTGCTCACGAAATTCGCCATCCCTCAATTTGACAGCATTACCTGCTGTTTAACGCATCACTGCCCCACGTGCAGGCATGTCAAATTACGTAAACAAACAGATCCCACTAAAAACCGGTTTGGCAAGCTATCTTGTTTCAAAATTGCATGGAAGTGAGGTTCGTAACTTCCGTGACCAGAGGGTTTTTTTCTCCCACTCGTCACGATCCTGGCTTCGCCGCTCAAGTTTTGCCGCAAACAACAGGAAAAAAACTTCTGGCACTCAGGGTACACCATCTTATGTTATAGTAGAGGTCTTCGCTCGACAAAAACACTTAAAGAGAGCAACAGGACACCTTTCTCCTGCAATGGACAACATACGTGGCTTGAAATCCTAGTTGTTATGATGGAAAAATAATTGTATCCTTGTTCATTTAAATGCCTGACAAGTGTAGTTGTCATGGCTTGCATGTGGTTGTCACCATTTTTGTTCTTTTTTTACTTTAGCGAAGTCTGTTTTAAGTAACTTGTTTAGTTTCTCTGGCTCATTTTCCTCGATTTTGTTGACTGTATTTTTCTTTTAGCACCACATTTTCAATTAATTTGGCCCAAAAGACATACTTTTTACTGTGTTCAGGTTTGGAATATTTTAAAATGTTCTATTGTTTTGCATGCAAAATCAAATCGTCCTTTGCTGAAAACTGCGGCCATTGTCTTACTGAATATTGTTGTCAAAACAGCTCTAATATGATTGATTCTCGTTGATTTCTCTTGTTTTTTCAGCCAATCAGAAATCATTTGTAATGTGCACTCGTGTTACAAGAGAACTGCTCTCCTTTCTCAGCCAATAAGAATTGATTATTTTTTTTGTGTATATTATTAATTGACGAATTAGAAAAACAACTGCCTGCCAAACAACTTATAACAGCAACTTATGACTTATAGTTGAAAAATAACATAGAATAAAGCACACAAGCACCAATTAATACTAATAATTTCCCGAGCCTAAATTTAGACAAAATGCAACTGAAACTATTTACTAATTTCACAAGTGCACCATTTGATTACCTTTTAATATCACGGGTGACATTGCGCAAAAATTAAACAGAAAATTGTCAGCAACCATGATATTGAGAAATAAAAGTTCACGACGCTCTCAAAAATTTGTTCAAATATCCTGATAATTTTACTCTTCTTCGACTTTCATGCGAGGATGCTGTTAATAATATCCTCTAAAAAACTTAGCTGTGTTTTCTAAACTTCGCTTTCTTGTTTCAGTAACACAGCTGCAGAAGCTATTAAAGTAAAGTTATTTTCATAGGGCAATAAATCTTATTTTAATAACTTTAGACAACCACCGAAAGCAGCTGAGAGCATCAGTTCGGCACCATGTACTGATCTATAACGACCCTAATTTGTTACATGTACGTAAATCGTCAAAAATGGCTTCTGGATATTGCGTGAATAAGTGACGATGAGAAAACTTCAGGATGCTACAAAGGCAATCTAGACGAGAGTTTTTCTACCGCTTGAGTTTGCTATCAGCGTGGATCAAAAACGCTCTTGACTTATTTTTTTATAAGTTGTGTCAAGAGTGATAACTTTTTCTAACATGTCATATGTCATGCCATCTCATGCTTAAGCAACAGGAATTTTTACCCATGTATAAAGTGACACTGAAACTGCAATAAAATTTTTTATCTTAGATAAAAAGCCTTAGTTATGCTGTCAAAATATGAATGCGTCAGTCAATTGAAACCCCAACCCCCACGGCATGGCGGGAGATAGCGGGGATTTAACACACATTTAACAACGTGTTGTCCGCTGGGGGCGGTGGAATTAACAAGATGCTTGTCCCACCCGGGTCATGAGCGGGGATTTAATAAGCACGCATTTTCGGAAAAGGGAATAGCAACGGGGAACTGTATCCTTTTTCCGCAGAAACAGTTGTTTGAGGGCATCAACTCCCTTTGAGATTTGTGGATTCTTTGAAGTCTCTAGAAGCTCTATTATTGTATTTTTAAACCTCCCTGAGTGTGACATGCAGTGTTCTGATAATTCTGATAAGTGACAGGTATTCTTATAGGTACACGGAAATGGAAGTGCATGCATGTATAGGGAGGTATAAACGCAGTAACTGTTCAAAATATAAAAGACAACAACATTTGGACATCCACATCACCATGTGAACAAATTACATTGTGCGGCTCCGATTTCCTGTGCACCTCTCGTGAAGGAAGGTGGCCAGGGGATACCCAGATGCCATTTCAAAATAACCAGAATTAGTTCCATGGCACTGTTACAAAACAAGTCCCTGTTTCAGGTCTTAAGGGTGGATTTCCTGACCCTGGTCTGATGTGCGCATATCATGATCGAATTTGAATGTTGGTCATATAAAGAGGTCTAATCTCACCGCAGTTGGTCAGTATAGTTAAATATATGGTTGAATTTAAGAACAAGTACAGTTGAGACCAGCAAATACTGTAAATCCGAACTGAATCGTGTTTATTGTTTATGAACCACTAACAAAAATTAATGTTTGGCCTGAGGAGCCGGGAAATTAGCGGTGTTTTAACAAGCGGCCAATGTTAAATTCCCCACCAAGTCGCAGGGGTCGGGGGGCCGGAGTTCCAGTAGACTGATGCATAATGTCATGCTCTTTTAAAAAAGCTATGTTTTATCCGGAGATTTATAAAGTAAACAAGTTGCAACTGAAAAGATACCATTATTTAACTTCGAAATATTTGTTGTGTTATGCATGTATGCAGTTATATTTTGTTGTTGCAAATGATTAACAAGCTTTCTTAAACTAGCTGGAACTTTTTTCTATTGTAGCACCACTTCGTTAATCCCAAAGAATTTAATTTGGGAAGGGCGAAATTTCGAAGTTACTTCCACCAAACTACATTGAACAGCATTGAACGTGTCAGGGGGGAAGCAATGCGTCATGCCTCCAACACACAGACTCGTCACAACGGTGCTCATGCACATTACAGGCCCATTAAGCAAACTCAAATATATTATGTTAACTAGTAATAACAAAAGGTTTCGGAGTGCAGGCGACAACGATTGAAGGTCAAAATCACTGTGCTTTGCGTACTAAGTTTCACGTGAGTGATAGTCAAAACACGCATAATCATATTACGAGTGATGGAAGGTCCAAACGCGCCTGATCATATTGCGTTCTGTGCATTCCATTCATTCTTAGTGGAAGTCCAAACCAATGTTGGCTACATATATGCAACGCATGCGTAATAGCAACCTGAAGATTAAGATTGCAGGCTCCTCTTGTCGCCTGCAATAAATTCCTACTTTTAACTGGTAAGGTATTGAGAATGCTCTGAACAACGATTTAAAAAAGGATGATTGAGCTCAAAATAAACATAAGTAAAACAATTGCTAGACATTGGCTAGTTTATGCCCATGTGCTATGCAATGCATTGAATTTTATGATAATTATTATGTTCAGGTGGAGTTATGCTCCATACTCCATGTTGTACGCCTGTGTGTGTGGGTGAATCTTTCGCATTTATACAAACATAATAAGCTAAAATATGAAAGAAACAGTGTTTTGGAGGAAACATCATGTGGTCTAAAATCAGGCTTTGTTCACATTATACCGCATACTAGCTTTTAAGCCGGCACGAAATATGGGTAGGGCTAGCCTTCTGTTCACAAATAAGAACGGTTATTTCGGAGAGAAAGGCTGTGAATCAAGGGCTTAAGAAATTTGTTGTGTCATTGGCTGAGGAGGCAGATCATATGAGACAACACAAGTAAGAAAGATAACACCAATGTATCGCCACCAACTACATCTACTCACATTGCGGAAAAGACTACCACTTCCGCATTTGACAGTGCAGCTACAGAAGACGCTGTCGAGTCCACCTTCATCAGGGTGGAAATCCATAGCCTTCCACGACTGACGGATGCTGCTACAGTGTAAGCTCTTGTGAGCGGACACCCTCGGCACGCGGAAAAGGTGTCCGACCACTTACGGGATTGTTCAAATACAAAGTTTGTATGGGAGTTGGGAAAAATGGGGCTTTGTGAAGGCGGTCGTCTGTAGAGCTGTCCGCTTACAAGAGTGTCCGTTAGGAGAGCTTCCACTGTATTCACTTAAAAACATGCCTATACGTCTTCTTAACCTTTGCCTTTCCCTCGGCAGTTGCAGGGCATAAGGGGATGTTTATTCCAGCAGATATAGTTAAACCTCTCTACAACAGCCACATAATGATAATAATACATGGTAAAATAAGAATTATATGAAAGAAGATCAAAAATTTTTTTTCATGTTTTTTTTTGCAGCTGCAAAAGTTGCGTCTATTACTGCGATTATCCTCTTTCATATAATTATTCACCCACAGTTCTCATATATGATTTTCATTTATTCATAACTTCATCATTATCCTTTCACGTTTTTATAACGAACCAACTCAACGACCTGCTCCCAGTTGGCTTGTTAGTTCAGTTGGTAGAGTGCTGCACCGGTATCGCAGAGGTCAATGGTTCGAATCCCGTAAAAGCCTGAATTTTTTTCAGTCTTTCCAAGTTTAAAAAAAAAAGCTAAACGTGCTTACCTCCGTCATTGTTAAATAGTGCATGTTTATTGGGAAGTTTAGGAGAGAAAGGGCAGTTCAGGTCTGCAAATATACTCCAAATATCAGATGTTGTCCATTGAGTTGTCTTTTTGCTGTTCTTGCTATATGTTTTTAGACAATAGTTTAAAATGAAACTAGTAAAATGTTCCACCATTACTCACTTCGAAAACAACTCAAACTTGTCCCCAGGTCTTTTTGGTTAACAAGACAATAATCTGCAATGTTGCTGCTTTTTTGACATCATCGGTTCATTTCAATATATGGAAAAATTCTTCTAAGTTTGGTCAACAAAGGCTGGTTATGATGAATTATGCATGTGATTTTAGCCATTCAGAAACGGAGAAATATTTTGAATGAATAATACATATTAATATGGTCTTTGACTCTATTTTTTCTAGTACTTGAAAAATCCCGGACAAGCTACGCTGCTGGAGGCATGACTGGACAGCATCCTTTTAATTTTAACCAAACTGGTTTAAACTTGTTACCTTCACTCGGGAGTCCATTGGGAAATCCCCAGCAGCTTTTGAGTCAGTTACAAGGGTTACGAGCTCCTCAGTCAAATATGGGTCTAGGATCATTTGGTCAAGAAAGTTATGGAAGACAGAGAATGCAAACCACTGATGATCGTTTCAGAAGGGAACTGCGTGACTTTAACCATAGAGAGAGGTCCCTTAGAGAGCCATACATGAGATCTCAGGGAAGGGACAATTACTCTAGCGAGATTCGTGATAGAGTTCATGGGCTGATGGACAGGGAAGTTCTAGTAGATTTCCTGTTCCCAGAGATGGGCTCAAAAAGAAATGAAGAGAAATATGGAAGGGAGAATAATGGAGAGGCAAAGTTATGGTATGCACAGCAGAGGCAGATCGAGGTCACCTGTCCGATCTAAGGGAGACATAAGAGATAGGCAAGTTAGTCCTAGCGACAGAAAGTATGGATCCCGAAATGACTTAGCTGTTCCCTGGAATGCATTTCTTCGCCGCTATTGTTATCTTGTACCCCCCTTAGATGACACCAATGTTTTGGCATTAAGTGGGAAACAACCAGGATGTCGCGCAATCTTCATTGGTGGTCTTCCAAGCATGGCTGACGAAGACATTGTCAGGGAGATTTTCAGTGTCTGTGGGCCTATTGAACAGATAAGCCTAAACAGTGTTCGAGCAAGTACACAAGTAAAACACTGCCAATTGCGCTTTCTCAATGACTCTGTTGAGAAGGCAGTCAAGTTCAATGGTCATGTACTGGTCATTGGAGATGGTTGCGACAGAAAAACAAAAAATTGGTCGCATTCATGTTGATTATGACAAACTGCCTGGGGGTAGTGAAGAGGTGCAAAGTGGCATGGTAGTCAAGGAGAAGGTGCAGCTGCCTCAAGAAAAGCAGAACAGGATTTGAGCTTTGAGTTTACACGCAAACGGGCGTTCCATCTTCTGGACCTGATTCGTCATGATCAGGCCTTAACAGAGTCACTTGGTACTTTAACACATTGGTTTGAAAGGGGAGAGTGTAACCGTTCTACAGTGAATGTGTTCCATCCATTGCCTAACACTGTCAATAGTCTGATCAAAAGGTTGGTAAGCAGACGGAAGGAGCATGAACAACGTGTAGAGAAACAGAAACAACAGGCTGTGGAAAGAGGCAATGAAATCAAACTGCAATACACGTAAGTTAACTCTTTAATGCTTAATATTTAATGCAATTTGACAAATGTCTAAGTAATCACTATGCAGGCATAAAAATAATGTATGCAGGAGATTTTCTAATTCTAATCATGTTATATGCAAAGGTGTACCACATCACAGCAGATGTGCAAATGTTCGCTTATGTTGAAATATAATCAAGGTGGGAGCGTTAAGTAAGTAAAATTAATAATAAAATAATAATAATGAAGTTTGGGGTCAGCAGTTTTAAAGATGGCACATGGCAGCCATTTTGAAAGCCTCCTTTCTTTTTGGGAAAGAGTTCCAGTCTCTGATTTTACATACAATAAAACTGTGTTGGTATTTGGTTGCTTGGAACAGACTTGAATGAATTCCTTAGGATGGAATTGCCTAGTGCTCTGTCGCCTTTTGAATTGAGTAATGCCACTTTCCTTCTTTTCTCGAGTTTCTCAGAATTTTCGTGACAATTCCAGGAGTGGTGCTATATTCGTTTTTAACAAAGCATGCTGCTCGTCTCTGCTTACTCTCAATGTCCTTCATCTATTTTTAAATGAGGGGGTCCCATGGGTAACATCCATATTCAATCAGAGGTCTTACTAAAGCAAGATAGGCTTTCTCTTAAACATTTTCTGTGCAAATCTTATTTAGATTTGCTAAGCATGGAAGAAGTAAACAACAAAAGTAACATATTTGCTCGTGTAATTGAAAAGAGTATATTAAGTGAGATTGTTTATCTTGTCACTTGATAATGATGCGACATTAAACTTTGAAATGTTTTGTACATATTTTTTTGCTAATTATTATTCTTATGTGTGTAATGAAATAATCATTAGTTTATGGTTCTTATGTTCTCCCATTAGGTGAAGCTGTATGCAGGGTTTTTGAAGCAGCAACGAAGCAGAAAGCATGGGATCATTTCACAAAGGCACAAAGGAAGAACATCACCCAGTGGCATGGTGCCATAAAAAATGTAAGTGTACTCAGTACTTTACTGTTATAAAGTTTATTTTGCTGAATCTCCCCAGGCTGCTCCAGTAAAGTTAGATCAGAAGGCAAAAAAATTGTTACAGTGGAACCTTGATATAACGAACCTTTGTATATGGAAGTCCTCAGTATAACAAACGATTTTCTTTACCCCAGTAATAGTAAAGCATGTGGAAGAGTACCTTGATATAACGAAACCTTGTGATAGCGAATAAATTTTGCCAGTCCCTTGGCACTTTGTTATATTCAGGTTCCACTTTATTGAGTAGGCAGCAAAAGATTAGATCATAATCCATCCTTGGGGTACATATATGTGGGAGAAGGGCTGCCCCATCTTCCGTGAGGGAGTCCAGGCACCTCTCCTGGAGTAATGTTAATTTTGGCCACCCTGAAAAGTACATATTAGTGGATTTTTAGTACGTGGCCAAGGATATAATTTTGCCATCAGAATAGCACCTTTGTTTCATGTTTTCCCCATATTCTCTATATTTTATATCATATTATGTTTTTTTAATCAAACATAAGTGTTAAGACACAAATACCGGTACATCAGATTCATTACCTCTCTTTAAATTAATTTTCTGTGAGTAGCCAGCTCTTCTGTGAAATGTAGATGGGAATTGATTGGCTTTCTCGCACTGTTTCTGGAGAACTTTCTTATTTACCCTTACAAAATGTAAGTGCAAGATTATGATTTTCTGCGTACAGTCATCTGCCATGTTATCAGTTGCAGCCATCAACCTTCATTGCCTTTACTGTTATTTAAACCGCTCAGAACAGGCCACTTCTAAAAAAACAGCAGCAACAACAAATCTTTAATTTCCTTTAAAAGTTATCCAGCTTTTACACAATGACAATGTTACATCAATAGCATGCCCATTAAGCACTCGCATAGAACAATACAGTGAAACCCCGCCTTACGGCCACCTCAGTAATACAGTCACCTTGTTATTCAGCCACTTTTTTGGATGCCTGGCAAAATGGCCATACATTTTCTTGTAATTCCCCTTGTTGACCGTACTAACAGGGTTCTACTGAAGAATACAAATTTAAGGGTTGAACCTAATCACAGACTGTTTAAATACCTGCAATCGTTTTAGTTAAAGGCATTTGTTTGTTGTATCAAATGTTGATAGCAAGTGTTAACATGTATGTATTGTTAGTTGCTTGAGATAATATTCATTCAGATGAAGAGTTGAAATGGTCATTACTCCACAATATATCTTGTTGCGTTTCTTTTTTCCGAAATTTCCTAAGTGGACAAAAGGAAACACAGACCATACCAAAAGCTCAGTTGTAGACTTTTCATCAAAAAGCTAATATCTTATAGCTGTCATACAACTCTTGGCCAACCTCGTACATCTTCAGGTCTTTCTAACTTTCCTTGTTGGGTAGGTTAAAGGTACTAGAAATTCTATGATGCATTCTTCAACCAAGACTCCTCCTTCTGTAGGTTTACAGCTGTAGTTCTATTGATCGCTTACCCAAGAACATGAACATTACCAACATTTAGTTGTTGTTAAAAGATAAGAATCATAATATCAGGGAGGTAAGGGTGGTGCATTGCTGAGAGCACTCACCACTCACCAGTGTGGCCTGGGCTCAAATCTCACAGTCAACTCCACATGGGTTGTGTTATGTACTCTTTCTTGCTCCATGAGGTTGCTGGTTTCCCTCTCTCCTCATTAATCAATATTTTCAGATTCCATATCATTTGAGAGCAAGGATGGCACAGTGCTGAGAGTGCTCACTTCCCACCAATGTGACCTGGGTTCAAATCCCGATGTTGACGCCATATGTGGGTTGAGTTTGTTGTTGGTTCTCTTCCTTGCTCTGAGAGGTTTTTCTCTGGGAACTCTGGTTTTACCCTATTCTCAAAAAACAACACTTCCAAATTCCAATTCGACCAGGAATCAGGTTGGCCAAGAACCACTTTGTGGATGTCCTGCCTCCAAATCATTATTTATTTATTTACCAGTCTAGGATACATTAGGCAAAGAAGCACTTTAAGGATGTGCTATAACTAAATGATTATTGATTCATCATTTTATTAAATACCTTGCCACTTTTTAGGTTTTCATTGGCAAGTGTTACAAAATAATGTGAACATATTTTCCCCCACCTCTCTTTGATAAGTATTAGTTACATCTGTGCGTGTATGGGTGATAAGTTTGACTGTCTCCTTTGGTTTGTTATTTGAAAGTTGCCATGGTTAACACTTGCTGGATTGTTACTTAAAACAAAGTACATGCTCCTTGCATTACACAGCAATTTCCTAACTGGAGTCTGATAGTCTGTGCAGAACACAAGAAACAGCCTTTAGTACCAAATGATTTCTTTCAGAAACTGATGTTTCTCAGTTGTTTAGACTTTTAAGGTCTGTTGAAGGTTTGATTGTTATCACCACACACCCACATTTTGGCAGTAACGTAGCATGCTTCACTCAAGTGCCATTTATTTTTCCAGTGTGGCAAGTGTTCATGGGGTGTATTTACTTCCCACAGAGAAAAAAAAATGTGACATCCTTCAGTGATTTTGTTATCTCTATGTGCTGCATCCCTGATGCATAAAAATCCCCAAAGACACAAAATAATTTGTGGTATTCATCCCATAGGACGCAGAGAGAGATCAATTGATCAATCTAAAGATGTTTTTCTAGAATATCCTGTTTGTGTGATTTCTGTGCCTGTGCTGTTCTTGTGGCTGTTGTTAAACGACTCATTTCTTTTAGTCTTTGTTGTGCTTTACAATAGAAGGAGTATTGTACAGTACCGCAAGTGATCCCCAACCGCAAATGATCCCGAGACCGCAAATGATCCCCAAAATGGACCGCAAATGATCCTCGACCGCAAGTGATCCCCAAAGTTGACCGCAAATGATCCCGTGAAAACTTGAGGAATGGAATGGATTTTATGGGACTGATTACAAAAAAGGACTGATTATAAAAAAGGAACCTTTTTCTTGCACCTTCTAAAGAAAAAGGGAAGGAGGACGCTACATCTCAGGTCAATTTATACAAGGCGAAAACAAAAGTAGAATAAATCTGAAGAGGATATGGTATCAACCGTATACTTCTTCCTTTGTCAATTGCTTCAATTTTCTCTCAAGAACTGTTTCGTCGCTGAAAATTTAAGACAGGCAGGACGTTACGCAGAAAAAACTCTATTATTTTAACGCCCAAGCTCAACTTGTCTACTGACGAATACAAAGCCGGGCACCCTCTACATATCTTTTCAGAAGCGTCGAATTAATTTTCAGAATATTTAGTTTTGATTTTTCTCTGAAGTGTAAATTTTACGTGATAAACAGCAAGACATTGGTTAGTAACTTATGAGTGCCCCAGGCCTGGCAGTGCCCGTTAAAAAACAAGACGTGATTTGAAATAAACACACGTCAAAATGCCACCGAACTTATCGATGTCCACAGTTTTCGGTTAATTTTGAAAGAGCAACTTGCCTACAGCTCATGAACATGTTGCGAATAGTTATATTGACGCTTATATGTATATCCATTTTTTTGCCTTTGCTGTAGACAGTTACCAGGAATCTAATTCTGGTAATGAGAAACGCAAAAGCGAGGCAAGCGGTAGTTATCGCGTGACAAAACATCGTAGGAACCGTCACATTCACGGACTAAAAGAAAGTCGCTTATAATTGTTCGGATCCATGAGGCACTTAAAAGAAAATTGAAAAACCTAAAACCCTTATTTAGCCGGAACGAGAAGCATTGCATTTCAAAAGAGGTGAAAGAAATGCTCTTGCATTGAGTAACGCTCCGGCTACAAGCGATAGCGAGAACAATAGGGCCGCGGCAACAATCACGCCGACCACAAACAACAATAACCGCAGAAAATGCGTGTCATGACCTCTCAGTATGAAATAAGCGGCAAAAATCACATTTGCTCAGTCAAAACGTTTTCCTTCAGGTGTAATCTACCCGCCAGAGAAAAAAATTCATTAGAACAAGCAGCATTTTGGCATGAGCTAAAAGTCGTGTGTTGCCTACCGACTTGGTTTTACACTTGAATGATTTTTTTCATTTAGTTTTTTTTCATGTATATACGTATTTATTTAAGAACTGAAATTTAGCGTTTAATCTTACTTTTTGTATTAATAATAAAATCGTCACGACGATCCGCTAACTCGAGTCTAAGCCATTCCTATTTTTCTTTCGGGATCATTTGCGGTCGTCTTTGGGGATCACTTGCGGTCGAGGATCATTTGCGGTCCATTTTGGGGATCATTTGCGGTCTCGGGATCATTTGCGGTTGGGGATCATTTGCGGTACTGTACAGTATATTGCTGTAATTTGGAGTTTTGGAGTCTGTCTTCAGATTAACTGTGTGGTTACAAAAGGCCCTGGGACTCATCGTTTTTTGAACTGGGGCTCATTGGTTCTGGACTGGGACTCATAATTTTTCACAAGATGAGTCCCGGGACTCACCATAACTATTATTTTGTAACGGAATCACTGATCCTTTCCAGTCTAACCCCATCCCTTCAAAACCATTCGAGTGCAAAAAAGTAGCACATCACTGTTTAAGTGGTCATTCTGTAGAGTATGACCATCCAATAACTGCTGTGGCTACATTCCCTCACTCCTTGAGTGAATTGGAAGACTGTGAAGGTAAGTCAATAGCAGTTCTCACTGTTATCATTGTGTGCCGTCCCCAGGAGATCAAATCAGCCAAAGAGGCTGAGATCGAGAACCGTGTCGAGGTAGGTATGGATCTGGATGATGAAGTGCCAACGCTTGGCGGGCTTATCGAGCAACCTGCACTGCAGACATCAGAAGAGGCGGAAAACCAACAGGATCAAGAGGAAGATCAAACAAGCCTACTGACGACAAAAGCCAAGAAGCGGCGAGTGGAAGCTTCAGGTACTGTGTCATTACACCACAGGCATCTATAAATACAAATTTACTCCTAAAGGTGGGTGAGTTAATTATGCACAGTGAAAACCCTTTGATTGGTAACGGGATGGAATTCGATGTGCTGCCGTTAAGAAGCTGTTAGCAATATGCCTGGTCTCTCTTTGACCAAGAGGACTGTTCCTGATATACAATATCACTTGTTTGAAGCTGGTTGTAAGAGATTCAACTCTGTTGGTCTTTCTGTTGAACCAGGTACGTTTTTCCAGCTTCTTCCCCTCAAGGGTTACGTGAACGTACAATATGAAGCTGCTCTTGTGAGCTAAGTTTTTTGATCAGCTGGAAGCTTAATACTGATGCTCACTCAAGCAAAATTGGTCTGATCATGCCGGTAGTCGGAGTTAAGGACAATTTAAACTACTTTTATAGCTCAATGCTGCAGTTATTGTCACTAAGTACAGGTTCAATGAGAACGTGACTAGAGCTCTTATTTTTCTGTAGCTTCCGTCGGAATCTTCACTAGACACATGTGATGAGCGCAGAGCAAAATTTATTTCAGTAGTCGATTAATCACGTTTTCAAAACCCTCATCATGTCATTTTTTTCTTGATATCCTTCTATTTTGTCTTGATTGTAACTTGCAAAGTCATCTTGGCTACCGCCCTTAGGAAGTAATAAGTCAGTAGAAGTAACATATCTTAACAGTTAAGTGTCAACTCTTCTGTGTAATCTGTCAGTGGATATATCTGTTAGCCTTTGAGCTTTAACCCTCTCTCATTACAGACGCTATCATTTTCTGATTTTCCCTTACCGAATCAATAGATGGCACTGCCTTAATTGGATTTACACTCCACATTTTGTAACCTTTAGTTAGGGGACAACCTGCATGAGACGGAAACAAGTTATAATCTTAACTCCCACTCGACAATGTATTTGTATCCCAAGATGAGACCCTCGATCATGGTCCATCTTCTCCCTTATTCTTCCCTAGGAAACATGTAGAAGCAGGTAAAGAGAATTAGGATGTTGACATCAGGGACACCGGCCGTTAGAAGACCCCCTAAGCGGTTTACGGTTGGTTCGCCAATGAGTCGTTTCGCCAACGTCCTGTTCGCTAACTTCTGAAGTCGTTTCGCTTATGTGTTGGGGCAGTACCTTAACTGCTTTTACCTGATCAGTGGCTGAAAGAACGAAGTATATACATGCGTATAACATTTTGTTTGTGTCATGGCTAAGAGAACGAAGCATATACAAGGCGAAGCGTTCGTTTCCCTTCTTAGCGAAACAACATAAGACATTAGCGAGCGGGACGTTGGCGAAACGACTCGTGACACGTAGGCGAAACAACCGGCCACCCTCTAAGCTACGGCTCGAACCACAGGCAAATGCTAAATATTTGTTAACTTTATTACAAGTGCAGTCATTGAGTCGTCGTACTTCTTCCCTCATTAGAGACCTTTAGATTCAAGGACGAGAACGACTACGAGTGCGAGATTTGACTTCAAGTTTTTTCACGTATTCTCAAAATATAGACTCCCCGGAAAGCTTCATTTTACCATTTTTCACTAGAAAAGTTAGCACCGTTACCTTTAGTGAAGGAGGTTGCACCCTGAACTGATTGCAAAATAATAAAACTTTTAACATTTGATAACTTGTTTCCGCAACTTCGACATTCTCGCTAAAACTCGTAGTAGAGTGACGACGGCTACCACGTTTTCCCGCCAAAATGACGCTGGTTCACGCGGGTGCAGTACTTAGTATTGAGAAAAGCTCGTACTCGTAGCCGTACTCGTCTTAGAATCTAAAGGTCTCTATTCATTTGCATTTAAAATGTGGTATCTGCTACAGAGAATTGAGGTTTTAACAGTAGGGATTAAAAGGTTTATTAATTGTATTTATCCTGTAGAATCTGATGCTGACTCAGCGGATTCCCTGAGGTTAGAGAATGAAAAACTGCGAACGCAAGTTGAGAGTTTGAAGGCAATTGCTGAACAAAACACAAGTTTGATGTGGTCCATGCAGAGTTATCAGTACCAGGCAGAGGAGATAAGACAGCAGTACAACAACATGATAGCAGCTAAAGATTATGAAGTATGGAAACCCTGCATGAAAATTCTTAGTCTTTGAAGGGTCTGAACCCATTCATTTTTGTGCTAAATAAAACTATGGCACCTTGCAAGGAGCGCCTCCTTTTGTCTTGTTGATTGAGAAGGAGGGTAACTGGTCAAGTCGCCCGAAAGTTATCTCGCCTCAAACCAGAATTAAGTCGCCCGAAATGCTGAGTCATGTCGCCCGAATTTTATCAGGTGAAGTGCATAGAGAAACAAAGTGAATTTTTGTGAAATAAAGAGTGTGTGTAACATATCTCGTTCTTTAAACCATCATTAGACGAAACAAGCGGAATGAATGTGTAACATACCTCGCTCTTTAAGTGATGATGAGACGAAACAGGTGATATATTAAGATTATGTGTAATATCTCTCGCTCTTTAACCATTGATGAACAACGAAACAAGCGCGATAAATGAGTAATATATCTCGTTCTTTAATCTTCGATGGGACGAAACAAGCGCGATAAATGTGTAATGGGAATGCTATAGGATGTTGTTGAGCGTGATAAGATTTCGAGCCACCTAATTCAGCATTTCGAGCGACTTGACTAAAATTGTCGGGCGACATAACTCTGATTTCGGGCGAGATTACTTCGGGCGACTTGACCGGGAGGAGAAGAGGACTCTCTGCCTGAATCGCGTCAAGCCTTTGAAGTCACAGCAACCCGGATTTCTGGACTAGTCAATCTTGTTTTCTCTCGTCAAACTGGTTTTTTAATGCAAGCATCCATTTGTTGATAAAATTGCTGGTCATAACTGAGCCCGCCTTACTAAGCGCATGGCTCTTAGGCCTGGATTGGAAACTTTATCCAACCAGTATGCAGGTCTCGATTCATGGAGTCTTTCTCGAGTACAGCAATATTGATCGAACAAGCGAAAGAAAGGCTCTGCTGGCTGGTTGAAACTATCTTTTAAGGCTAGTAGAATCCATTTTCGCCACCCTCTGAACTGAGCGCGAACTACTGTAACTATTCAAAGCATAATAGAAAACACCCAAGCACGGCAAATTTTTATAACATAATTGATTTTAGCTGATTTTAGGGAAATAAAACTCTAAATACATAAAAAAATACGAGGTATTTTTTTTAGATGAAAGCTGTATTAGGCATATGGGCAGTTACACGGTATCCACAGTAGAAGTAATTATGAAATTTACCTTTTTTCCGTTCCTGTTAGATATTTAGTCTGACGAAAGCTCTGAAAGATGCGAATATCCTCAATGATCCAAAGGTAGTGTAAACGCATTGATATCCTGTCCTTTTGTTTGAACCCTTCAAGCTCCAAGGATGATAGCCATTAAATTTATCCTGGTTTGTAATCCAGAAAAGACATCGCAATATAGGACGTAACCATACAAGATGGATTCTCTTGACGTGTTTTCAGCAACTTGTGTTTACTACTTTTTCGTTTTCGTTGTCTTCTCTCTTAGAGGTCATAGGAATAAAGTCATAATTACGGTCATCTCGTCCGAAGTTATGTCGCCCGTAACCAGAATTATGTTCAAAACTCAAGTGAAACCGTTTTTTGACCAAGAGTTAAGGCAATGGATAATCGTGTTCATTGCGCTTTTTCCAGTAGCAATTTGTTGTTGTTGTCGCTGTTTATTTACATTTTTTAGCAACGGTTTTTTAACTACGGCAAGTTTAGGTCAGTTTATGGTAGAGCGCTGGTCCATTTGGCGGGAGTTCGTAGGTTCGACTCCCGGGGTTGGACCAAACCTCAGCTAAACCTCACAATCTTCACAAAGGCGATTCGATTCCCCACCTCCTTCCCAGCTCATCTTGTTTGTAGGCTCGTTCTCAAAACAAACGAAATAAAACTTTATAAGAATGCAAGACTTTTCTTCTGATTTTCAGAGAGCGATGGCTGAGTTCGAAATTCTAGTTGACCTGGGCAAGGATACCCATCATGTCACAGACATGGACCTCGATACAGAAGAACTCACAGATGATAACGAAAACGGCAACGAGAACAGCAAGCTTCGGATGCTGGATGAAATGGGTGGAATGGAAGAGTTTACAGAGAAAAGCGCAGAAAATGGAACTGGTGTGGATCCTGCAGATGGTAGTGGAGGTTTGCAGAGTGACAGTTTGGGTACAGAGCTGGTGGAAGTTAGCAACAGTAAAGAACTTTGTCTTGAAAGTTATCCTGTGCAGGAGGTACCAGTGAAAGAGGGTGATATTGGGTACCCTGTTGAAAGTGAAAACGTAGACATTGAAACAGAAGAAAAGGGGATCAAAGAGGAAGTGGCAGATGAGAGGCTTGATGAAGGTAAGGTGGCAGATGACAAAAAGAGCAATCAAGCTGAGGAAGACATAAACACCGAGGGGAAGGCGGAGGTATTTGTCGAAGATGAGAAGAGCCACGAGGAAGATGCGGAAAAACAAACCAGTCAGGAAGAGAAAGAAACTGAAAAAATGAAAGAAGTGAAAGATGACAACGTAGAAGAAGAAGGGAGTGGCCGCTTTGTGGAGATCGATGACGAGCAGTTTGAAGTGATTGATGACATGGATGAGGAAGACAGCGATGATGATTACAAAGAAATTACGGCTGTGAGCAGTTCTCTGCAGGTCTTTGATAACAGCGCCCAGAAAGTTCAAGACAATGAAAAGGCTGAGTATATGAACAGTGACCGTGCAAACGAACAGCTTACGAGTGATTCAGCTAATTACGCTGAGCATGACTCTAGTACCCAAGAAAAAACGCAACAAAGCGAAGATGATTACAAAGAAGTCAACGCGCAGCAGCAGGTCACCACCGACTCATCAAATTACCAACTAAATTACGATTCCCAGTATCAAGCCTGGCTCTCAGCAGCTGTGAACAGCCGTGCATCTATGAATTACGGACCCAACCAGGTGCGCATCTCCGGGGAGGAGCTCGTACTTGTTGGTATTATATGTTCCTACCTCCAGCTTTGCCCCGCAGGAGCTACAAGTGGTGAGATACGAGATTACCTGTCGAGGCAGTTCAAGGAGCGAAGAAGGGATGTGGTAGATAGATTGCTTTGCAGCTTGCCTGTTTTGTTCAAGGCAGAGGATGCTAGTGGAAATGCCAAGTGGAAGTTCTGTGGATTAGAGAAGTTGGCTGAGGCAAAAGGCGAGAGCTGAAGAAACGTACAGAGACACCAAGCAGACATGGCTGCTGTTCATGCATATGTCGTATCTGATAGCAACTTAAGACGGAATCCACCAGGACTTTGAGTAATTTTGATTTTCAGTGGACAAAAATCTTGTACCAGAATAATTTAAGCATACTGCATTCATTTGTACATTTTTCAAGGGCTAAAGATGTAATAAAACATCCGTAGTAACACCAAAAGAAATTTATTATGGGAGCACCAAATTACATCTTACACGTGAAATTTTCAGAATTTTACCTTTGTAATCACAATTCTTGTGAAATTTGACGTTCATATTCTCGGACTTCCATGAGAAATTTTCTTTGGTGTTACTACAGATGATTTATTACATCTTTAGTCCTTGAAAAATGTACAAATGAATGCAATATTGTTTGAATTATTCTGGTACAAGGTTTTTGTCCACTAAAAATTAAAATTGCTCAAATTCCTGATGGATTCCGTCTTACTCTCTTGTGGTGCTTACGGTATATAGGTCCGTACTGTGTACAAACTGCGTAAAGCCTGTAGCATCATTTGCATGTAGTGTTGTTTATTAAGGCGAACGAGGTTTTTGAGCTTGTGATACATGTGATTAACACGAGGTTATTCTGCCTGTTATTTTGCCGCCGTATGGGTAATAAAACTCAATCTTATTCTAGACGGTTGTATAACTCTTCTATAGCAGAGGTGATAAACGGAAAACTCGTAGCAGAGGTCTTAGCCCTGCCATCGTACTCTTTATATGCGATAGATCATCCACCCCTGGGGTTAAACAAGTTCCGTTTGTCAGCCTGCGAATACAGCCGTCTCACCACGCACCTTGCCGATAGGAATGTTTCGCGGGAGAGACGTCAACGACAGAAATTTCATACTGATGACGTGCAATATATCCGGAATCTGGTCTGGAGCTATGATTGATCGACGTAGTAATTATATTGTGTACGAATGACAAGCAAACGATCAAAGGTCGTAAAGATCAAATGTAAACGCGATGAATCTACTAAAAAATAGTAATTATTTGTGGAATATATTCTTTTTACCATAACTGAGTGATTTCTCGCCCGCTGATTGGTCGAGAACTATGTTCGAAAACAGCACAGACGTGGAAATGACGTGATGGTGGTGCAATTTTTTTTTCTCTTGCGCGCGCGATTGTCCGAGAAACGTAACGAAAATGGACGTCTATGAAGCAGTTTTCTTATCAAAAATACGATTCACTGTGCAGATTCAATTTTGTCTGCTTGTCATTCAATTATGTCCGTTTGTCATTCAATTATGTCTGCTTGTCATTCAATTATGTCTTTCAATTATAACAATTATATGCCTTCTTGTTATTCAATTACTATATTTCATAATGCCTGCTTGTCATTCAATTATGTCCGTTTGTCTTTCAATTATGTCTTCTTGTCATTCGATTTCGTCCGCTTGTTATTTAATTATGTCTGCTTAATATTCAATTAATTGCTCCCGCAGGGATTTCGAGGCACTCTAGTAACTGGCGCGTATATTAAAGGAGCTATGTCACGACCTGCGCATGTGCAGCGTTTTAGGCTGTTCTGCTGATTTTCTCAACTTTCCGCCATATTGGATTTAACAAACCTGGTCCATTTTTGGCAGCAAACCTCTATTTTCTACATCTTTTGAGGACTTAAAGAGAAACTACAATACCATGTCAGTCTTTCGCCGTTTTAGTAAGCCATGGAGGCGCACGATTCTAGTCAGGTTAGTAATCGCTTCCTATCTATCGATAGATCGCCATGTCACAATGTCTCCAGTACGGAGATTTCCTGAGAGTTTTTCTTATTTTGGGCAACATTTAAGAATACTAGTCTTGACAAACTTGTCGTGTATGTTCTCTTTTGTAGCCGAATCGTATTTACTGCACATGCAAGAGCACTTGCTCGACAAAAAGAACAAGTACCGAAGTGTCATGTGGGCAGGACTGTAAATGTGGGTCTCAGTCAAAGCCGTGTCGAAACAAGGTAATCTGTTCTCGAAAGGTTGATAAAATGTTGGATCCATTGTTGATTTTTATACAAATTTCTTGAAAGAGGTGCAAATTTGCAATCTTTGGAAAGAAAACGTTTGTTGTTTTAGCAAAGGAAATGTGCTGTAATCCCCACGATCTGTCCTGCAGAATTATTATGAGGTCCTGTACTGTGTTAATATATTTTTGGATAAATGCTCACCGATTGTTTTTTTTGGTATGGCAGTATACCTTGTCAGTCTACATTTTAGTGTCACACTTCTCCTCTACAAATGTAGTCATTATACTGAACAAAAATATACACTATTGTTTGTTTTCCTGATATTTTACCTCTCTTTGACAGGACTGTATTCAAACTTTGGATGAGCCAATGGTGCACAAACTGTGTGTCAGAAGTCTACAATGTGGATTAGGGAGCATGGACTACATACATAGTCTGCTAATTATGGACGATGACAATGATAGTGACACTGAGAGTGAGCATTTTGATGTGTACAGAGAAACCCCACAGGAGTCTGAATCCACTGATAGCCAACATGCTTCAGCAGTTGCGGGACCAGCACCTAACCCTTCTGCTGCATCAAACTCACTTCCCTGGTGTAAATGTAGTTTTTGTATTGTTGTGGTCAGAGAAGATGTGTTACAACATTTGCAAGGTTCAGCAAGCTTTGTCTCGACCCAGATGTGTTAGAAATCGAGCAGCAGCACAGTGATGATAACAGTACAAGTTCCTTCAGGAAGGCTGCATACAGGCAATTTATTCTTGATCGTTATGGACATCTAGGGAAGGGTAACAGAAAGGTCCGTCCTTCGTGTGTGGTCAAAACTGTGCGCAGACATTATCCTTCGCAGACAGGTGTGTACATGGGGTACAGACCCGAATGAGACAACCACCATGGAACTGTGTTCTGCATCTCACGAGAATAGCTAGACTTGTATTTCCCCAGTTTGTTCTTTCTCTAGTTCTTCAGAACTTTATTATAATATTTTGTTATTTCTAAGTCATGAACGGAGTCGGCAATCATCTTTTTCATGTTTCCATAACATATCCATTTCCACCCCAAGAAAGGTCAATAATAGGCTTATTTCATGTGGAGGGTGGTTGTAAAGGCCAAATTTTAAAAAGAGAGTAGGGGGAAAACCTAAAAACCTTCACTCAGGGGATTATAGATTATTTTTCTTGATCCACTCCTTTAGTTTGTTACAATGTTATGCTTTTATTGTAAGACATTTACATCATTTTGTGAAGTAAAGAAATCAAAGTGTTACATCAGCATGAATTTCAGACGATTGCTGAGAGGAGATGACTCAAGTAATCGTCTGAAATTCAGGTTAAATATGATTTACAAAATTTGCAATCAACTTAGTTGTGGTTGTTTCATGAACTGATTTCAAAAATAACAATGCAATGAAATTGTTGTTAGAAAATGTCATCTACAATGGAGGTCAAAAGTGTTGGGACCTTTTCAGTGATATTAGTAAAAGTAGCGATCCTTCCCCTCCCACCTCGAACAAAGATGAATTTTGAGCAAATGGGTGGAAATGACTGCTTTTTTGGCCACAACATTGCTGGGGGGTGGGGGATGACGGAATTAGCCCAAAGCTGATCAAAAAATTGTCATTAGGAGAGCAGAGTCCTATGTAACAGTTACTTGGAAGGGCTTTTTCACACAGTCCCAAGTTCTTTTCTCCTTCATTGTAGTTCTTTGTACTATAATACAGTAGCTTGCAAAGAAAGTAGTGTCCCATAGCCCAGGGCCTATGGGTAAGTCAAGTTTTTTGAGGAATTCACATGACAGAATAACAGTGTTAAATCAATTCTGCTCACCAAAAGTGTTGGGGCTAGTTGAAATGACATCTGGGCTACTAAATGCTACCTTCAGCTTCCCGAAGCTGTGAAACTTACTTTCTTTGCACTCTGTACATGTACGTAAAGTATGCAAACATTATTTGTACCATTTTATTTCGTACATCTAAACTTGTTGGTGTTAATAAGGACTGTTAAGTCAGTGACTGACTTGAACATCTGTAGTGGCCGAGCCACTCAGGCTATCCTCGGTGCAAAATTGCAATCACATAATCATTCATTTTAACATACCCCCCAAAACAAAAGAAAAATTAATAACCTTTCAACTTATAAATAAACATGAACAAATTACCCATTATCAGCAATTACAGCAAAGTGAGCAAGACGATTGAAAAAGACACATTTCAGCCTTTAGGGCAATATCCTACTGATGAAAAGTTCCAACTTAGTTTTAGATATTTTGAGCAACAACAATTTTCTGTCTGTCCTCTTTGAATTTTTATTACTACTTGAGGAATTCTCTGAATGATCTTCAGTACCAGATTGAAATCTGCTCTTACGTGCCATAAAAAGTTCCTTTGAAGGGGGTGCCTGTTTTTCAGCGATGGTGAGAGCCAGCAAAGCAGGGTCGCTTTCATTCAAAGACAGCCGCCTCGTAACACTATCAGTATCTTCTTTTCTCATGTTAAAAATCTTCACCATCATCACTGGAATGTACTCAAACTTTTTCTTGACTGTGATAATTTTCACGTCCCAATCATTTGTTCGCTGATTGTACTTTCTGGTTACTATCTGCTCTCCTGCTTTTGTTGTTGCTGCTTCAAGGTTCATATGGAAATTCCAATAAATGGCTGCAGGCTGTTTGCATGCTTTGTGAACTTTGTTACTGTAACACAAGTATGATAACAAAAAGATTACTATTCACAGTCCCTTTATTATTTTTGTTTCATAATCTGCATTGCAAAATCAGTCTCAATAAAAGTCGTTTCAAATTTTGGAAATTCTTCCCTTTATTGCTGAGTAGTAAGTGCAGCTGAATCCCAATCTGGTAGGTTAGGTTCTAGACTTGATCTTACCAGTCACTGGTTTTGAACCATAAAACTGCCAAGCTTTAATAGCTAGCTGGTTGCAGCATGCCAGGTGGGATTCTTTCTTGTCATGTTTACATGTACATTGTCTATATATTATTATTAGTTCAACTGGATCAAAAAGGTCTCGCATGACATTTGACGAAGTGTCAAATTTTCCTCGTTTCACAGGTGTTAACATAATAAACAAACCTGTAAGAGCATCGTTTTGAAGTGTAAACCAGTGAAAGGCTGTTGGCACACTTGAGTTTGCCTGTGTGTCTGCAATCAAAGGTAAAAGAACCACTAACCATGAAAAATTTATTGTAATATAATGCATGCAAGGCATTATTGCCATGGAAATGAATGGAAATGCTACTAGGATTAGCATGCAGTCTCCTTTTTAATGACCAATTTCTATTCTCCAAGTAACTGCAAAGAACTGTGATACATTGTATGACTCAATAAAAGTCTCCAGAGACACCACAGGAACTGCAATAAATTATGAAAAACTGGAAAAACAATGTGCATTATCTTGGATGACTCTGGTCAATGCTTAATTAAAAATTGATCAATAAATGAATCAATCAAAAAATTTATCAATCAATGAATATATTAAAAATTAAAAATATTAAAAATTAAAATTAAAAAAAAATTGAATATCAACATGCCAAGAACTGGTTTTATTTAGTTGGTAGTAATATCCTAAGTAAATAAGCTCCCACATCTTGAGAGCCAAAGATTAGACATAAGGGTTGCCTCTCAGCCAGTGTCACATTTATTGGCAAGAATGTTGTCTCAATAACTAATAATTTCTCAGGAAAAACAATCATTACCAAGGTTTGGTATTTTACCTGAATCGCACATAATATTTAAAACTGTTAAGAAGCTTTGGTTCCAGGATAATTTTCTGGAGGGCCGCAAAATAATAGTAATGTGAAAACATTTATTCAATCTAGAATCAAGTACAGCTGCAGTCTCACCTTCAATGTGGCTTCGTTTTGAGGAAGGAACTGGTTTGTGGATGATGCCTCTCTCTCTCCTTTTTACAAACGGTAGATGCACTATCCCTGTAAAAGAAAATAGATACATACATTCAAAACAACTGATTAACTCAAAATAAGACCGCCAGCAAACAGATTGAACAGACATTTTATGCATTTACCTTCTTCTTGTCTCGAGCGATAGAAGATGGGCAGCAAACATGGAATCGTTGTCGTATCCGCACTTGATCCTCGTAGAAACCCAAGATTAGAAAAGTGTTCCATCCAACGAAATCCTTTTACGAGTCTTACGCCAGAACTGAAGCCTCGCTGAGTTGCTAGCGAAGATTTTCTTGCGGCCGCTTCCTGATCGGCGACCGCCATGAGAGGACATTTGTTACCTCCAAACAGTTGACCTCAAATAAGTCGTTGATCAGAGTCATTGAAACAAAAACACACAGGAACCTTCTAAAAGGGCTGTACAATAGTAACTAACGTTTAACTATGCGAACTGTTAACGGATGGCTGCGATAAATAACGATAAACTCCTGATATTGAATCACCCGCAGAACTTGAAAAAGTTGGCGAACGTTTTCAAGATGTAACGCTTCATCGCGCACATGCGCAGTGTGTGACATAGCTCCTTTAAGGAAAGTACTTACAGTTGCAATATACAGTCATACAGTCATACAGTCAATATAGAAAAAATCTCCATTTGCTTGAACAGGGGCCGCGAGGAATCGGTAGGTAATGATGACGTTTCTATTGTTTGCGCCCGCAAGTACGAAATGGTTAGGATGACGTAAAGACAGAACATCCCCAAGGGACCGCTTCGGTGGATTTTGTGACATTTATTGTGCAGTCATACTTCGACACTCTTTTGCGTTACATGTTATCAGTGATATTCTCTGGAGCAGTTGTTTCAGTGGAAGTTATGGACCAAAGTTTTAACGACACTCGTTAAGCGCAGAAGAAGTTATAAGGTTCATATAACTGTGTATATATGTTTGCCAGACACGACTTCACAAATCTTTCATTGGAAACCTTGCCAGACACTCTTTCTCTCTTTTGACCGTAACAAGACTCGGCCCCAAACAAGCAAGACGAGTGAACAAAGGCTAGCTTCCTCACTAGCAGAACGATGGACGATTACAGAAATTCGCCCACAATCAAATTCTGTGCTGACTTATTCCCTGTTCACAGATGTCCTTCCGCTATAAAGTTTTAAATAAAACTAGAAGGCGCGAGTGTGAATTGATCAAACGTCCGTTAAATTTCTAAGGCTTTCTTTCCGGCAAATAAAATGGACATGAATGTAAAAAGTGAAAGAGAAATAGCGAAAAATTCAACTTTTAATTAAATCTTTTCTTATGGTTTAGAGTAAACTATTCTCGAAACTGAGAATGTTTTGATCAAAGCTGTGTAAATCGACCTGAAATTGTGCATGGAACCTTGAGTTTGCTGTATTTATCTCACCTATTGTATGGAATATGTGTGAAAATCTTACTTATGAATCGGTATATTTCAAAGAGCTACACAACGAGCGAGAATGCTATTGATCGACAATATACAGAGCCGGGGCAGCTGTAGTGTCAACTATTACTAGTCTGTAAATTATGGCGTACGATGCCCGCCAAAAATTCATGATTTGTATTTTAAATTGCTGATTTAAATTTCAACTTCAAAACTTTAATTTTACAGCTGAATTCAATATTTTATATTCTTCCTTTAGAGTTCACATCATGACCTCATCATCTTTGTTTATGAAGTACCATGCATATTTTGGCATTATATTAATGTTGACGAAGTAAGTTGAATCACTCTCAAAAAATCATTACAAAGTGCGATGGAATTATTACAAATTGCGACAGCTTAGTTTATTACAAAGCGCGATTGACTTTACAGATTGCGACAGCTTTCTTATTACAAAGTGCGACACGGTTTATTACAAATTGCGACAGGTATTACAAAGTGCGATGATTGTTACAAATTGCGACAGTACACTTGGTGGTAACTGGCCAGGCAGTTATTCTTGGGGATATAAGGAATACAATACAATTACTATGTACACTTCACTCAGTCAATGGCGTCAATTAGTACATGAGATATATTGAGGGTCTTCAATAGGATTCTTCGTCCTCGTAATCCCGAGCCCAAATTTCGTGCAATCCCGTAACCCGATGATTTCCTTTTTTGGTATCCCACCTCCCGCGATACTTTCAATCCCAAATCTCGCCCGGATTTTGCTTTAAAATCCCGAATCCCGAGATTCAAGTAAGAGAAATCCCGGAAACTGAAAAACCTATTGGTGACCCTCTATACTGACATTTTGATTAAAGGAACTTAACAACGAAGCTTGAATAATAGATAGAGTTAGACACTGTATTTGAACTGGATTGACCAAGAAGTAAAGACAAAAAATACATGGGGTTACTTTGAAATTGATTCAATGTTTCGGAGCGTAGTACACCGTTTGACTTTTTTTTTTCTCATGACTTGCAACGCGCTTAAAATGTGGTTCGAGTTATCGAGGGTAAAATTGTATAGAAAAAATCTGAAAGGAAATATAAATTACTCCGAGTTAGCGGGAAGTTCGAGTTATCGAGGGTGAAATTGCAGTAAATGTATGAAGGAAATCCAGGGGAAATCGATTTTGGTTCGAGTTATCGGGAGTCGGCTATCACTTGAAGATTTTGCGCGTGTTCTAAAAATTAAAGACACCGCGGAAAGCTTCATGTTGCTTTTTTCACCAGAAAGGTATTACGGTTATTTATACTGAAGGGGGTTAAGCCCTCTCCCGATCGAAAAGTGATAAAATTTCTTACATTTGATAACTTGTTCCCACTACTAGGACATTTTTGCTAAAACCCGTTGTAGAATGACGACGGCTATCACGTTTTCCCTCCAAAATGAAGCTGACTCGCGCGCGCACAATACTTAGTATTGAGATAATCTCATACTCGTAGTCCCCCTCGTCCTCGAATCTAAAGCTCTCTAATATTGACGAGAGAAACGCGGGGAAAGCGGAGGGTGATGGATCGTACGCGCTCCCTTCAGTCACGCGCGGCGTGAATACCAGGACTCTATGCCATACAACGTTCTGGTCTTACATTAAGGCATTTTTAAAAGAAACAGAAAAAAGGAATTGGAAACCAAAATATTCCGAGGTAACAAAGTGAGCGTTCTTTCTCTACCCCCCCCCTCTCTCTCTTTTTTCACTCAGCACAGAACATCTGTGAGCAAAAACCACAGACGGACTAAGTATGCGTTCACAAATTTGAACAGTATCCCGAAGTATGCTGACGTCCGAGCTTACTGTTCACATGTTAAAATGTATTGTAAGAGGGCACGTCTGTTGTCCTGTCATCCTCGACTCTTCATTTCACTCTTCATTTCATTTGAAGTCCCAACAAGGACTAAAAGAAAAAAAAAAAACAATGTATCGCTAATACAATAAAAAATACAATCTAGCTACCGCTGCATTTAACCGAAAGGGTGTCCCCCCTCGAATAAGAAGGGAGGCACTTACTCGAGGGCGGGACCCTTTCGGTTCAATGCAGCAGAAGATTATTGATTTTTGACTTCAAAGTGCGAAGGTCATTTTAGGGCGGCGCTCTTTCGATTGAACGCAATAGAATGCTGTGTTTTTCGAAAGAGCGCTTTTTTATTTCCCACTTCAAGTAAATTGAGGGCGGCGCTCTCTCGAGTATATACGGTTTTGATAGCATTCGATGGTTTTATTACATTTGAGAGCCTTATTACATTTGTGGCTTCAACAGTAAAATGTAATTTTTTGCTTTAGAGCTCATGCTTTAATACTGCAGCTTATTATAGCGATCCAATTATGGATAATATACGGTACGTATACGTACGATTAAAAAACAATAAAATTTAACAATGTTTTGAATCAAAATGTTAACAAGACAAAGCGAGCAAGGTCCGTATCATTCACAAAAGGGCGATGTTTGTCACACAAGACGATTGAGGACAATTTTCAGCGGAACATAGCGTTGCAACTGTTTCGAATGACTGCAACATTGTTCCAACATTGCAACGTTGCGTTACGCTAGAAATGGTCGATGCAAATCGTCCCCTGAAGACAAGCAAGGAAGGTGCCTTTATCGCACGCGCTTGTATTCCTTTGTGTCTTTCCTCCCTTCCTGCTGCTCCAAAGTTAAATAATTTCGCTCCCAATATCGTATGTCCTCAAAACACTACTACATTTGTGATATCAAAATCTATTGTTTCTATGGTGTTAAATATACAATAAAAGGGACGATGATGAGAATCCACCGCATTTTGTTCATGAGATAAAGACGAAAAGCTATGGCATCATCGACGTTAATGTAGTATGTTGATGCTCTTATTGGGGAGTTTTCGGCTCAAAGAAAGGTTAATTCGGTGCGCCCTGTACTACTTTTCTAACTGGATAAAAGCCTTTACCCCGCATCGACAACTGGAACTGACATAAATTACGGGGAAGGGGCACTCAAGAAAGTTATATTCGCGGAGGCTCCACCGAGGCGGTTCAACCCCTTACCCCTTTACATGCCATTTTTGCGATAAAAGGTATCCCTTTCACGTAATCTACTCTGTATTATACCTCGATATAGGGAATACTATGTTCACATTAATTAACTTCTAGCGATGTAAATTTACTGAAATGACACTACTAGAGGTAACCATGAAATCGTTGGCCCAAAGATATCTATGTCAGTGGCCTTTGTTGGCGAGGCGCCCCATATTAGGCCCACTTATACAGCGCACTGTTGATATTGTGCTCGTTAGAATTAGTTTTACGATTTGCAACTGCTAGGTAAGTATGGCCTTTGTATTGAAATGACGTCATACGAAAAGCTCCCTGGGTTGGAATTTCTTGATATTCAATGAACTGTTCCTGAGAAACTCGATATACCACTGACATGGTGTTGTACCTGTTGTCGTCATCATAAAAACTAGCCACACCCAGAAAACGTTGACTGCACATCATAAAAGGATGTAAGCCGGCTGCTCCACGAGTAGGAATCGACTGAAATAGAACAAAATGACTGCCATTCCACTTGTAAATTGGAGAATTGATATTGCGTTGCCCACTGGCACTTCTATGGTTTGCAAACGCGAGAAAAGTAGAACCGTTGTCACTGAATGACTTCACATCTAGGGCGCCATATGTCTGGAAAGACTGCAGTTTGACAAATTGCTGCCCTGACCACTTGAACACAGCTGACTGAACTAATTCTCGCTTTTGTAGGGTATAATGGTTTGCAAAAGCAATGAAAGTTTCATTGCTGATTACAAAGGTCTCAGTATCAACAGTCCCCTCGGTTGCTATGTCTTGAATCTTTTCAAATTTATTACTGTTCCATTTGTAGATGGATGAGTTGATACTGAAGGAGGAGTCATCAGGAGAATTTGAAATGGCAAGAAACCGCTCATTTGTTATTTCGAAGAATTCAAAGCTGTGTGCTCCAAATGTTTCAATGATTTGAAAGACGACAAATTGTTCCTGACTCAGACTCCACTGGTAAATAACTGAATTCTGTCGGTACGAAGTTCCATTATTATGATTTGCGACAGCCAGGTAATGTTGATCACCAGTTTTAAAATATTCCATGTCAATGCCATTTGTGCCTAACGTCTGATAAAGGAAAAAAAATCCAGTGGAATCGTTCTGTTTGTAGATGAAAGAGTCGACTTTAGCTCCTTCGGTATCACTGTATTGGTTTGCGAAGGCGAGAAACCGATTTCCATTGATAGTGAAGTGTTCGACATCATGCCCTTCTCTGGTTGGTAGATCTTGTTTTTTTTCAAAGTGGTGAAATTTTTGTGAACAGTCTTGCAAAAAAAAAAATGATTGTGGGTTAATAAAGGATTCACTGCAATCAACGCAATGTGCATGGGTGACCTTACTCCATCTAGCATTTTCAGTTCAGCTTTTATTTAAACGTTGTTTCTTCAAGAGCACTAAGCAGCAGTTTCCTATCAGGAGTATCTCTTTTGCGGTCAGACGTTTTGCGCCAAAACAATGTAAGTGCGTTGTCCATTCGTTTGCTGTATTTCTTTTGCTCTCGCAGTATTTCTGAAGTTCTATTTTCACCTTGTATTTCCGTTTAAACCACAACACAACACAATTAACACATCAAATACGGCAAATTACGGTACATCTGACCTAATGTCAGTCGAGTCTTTTGGGTCAATAGTCTACCATCTTGCTTATTGCTGTAACCCTCGAGGACTCAAATCGGAATAAACTTGTGCGTTTATTGTTAGCGCTGATCGGTAAAAGAAGTCGCCTTACGGCAGCTATACACTGTTTGTAGTTTTGTTTTCCATTTCTGCTGTCTGAATCTAGAAGCTGTCGTCTTTCACTGAATTTTGTCTCGCTAGTTTTCTACCTTTCAGAAAAGATTGATTGCATTTAAGCTTAAGTTTTAATAGCTTTCAATGAGGATGCCTATATACCTAGCCAGGACTCAGCCAGGACTTCGAGCCAGGACTCGACGCAGGACTCGACCATTTCTCGCTCTCCCACCATTTTGACCTCCTGCAAGTCCCATGACCATTAAGAGGAGGGTTTTCGTAGCAATCATGGAAGGAAAGCTCGAGTTTTTGTTAGGGTTAGGGTTAGGAGGTTACCAGTTAGGTTAGGAATCCTTTTTGTTGCTTTTATTTTACTTTTTTAAAGCTAATTATTTTTAGCTATTTATAGTCAAAATCTTAAGATTGGTGTCTGTAATTAGCTCTTTTTATAAAGCCTTGAGCAGTTTTCATCCCGCTCGATTTAAATAATCTTAAAGTAATTATTTAGCCGAAGAAAATCTTTGCTGTTTTTTTTTCCTGTGGCTTTTAATATCAAGTTCGTCAATTTGTCTTTGTTTGACACTCAGATTATGAATTGTCTACCAAGACACAAAAACCTTTCTTTATTCTGAAAGAGCTCAGAGCTGATTTGTGATAATATAAATTACAAGCTAAAAATCACGTTGTATGTTTTGTTTTGGTTTGCAATCGATCGCGCGCTTCATCAACACTGACGCGTTCTACCTCAACATACATAGGTTGGAGGCTGAAGTAAAATTTTCCAGAAACTTTTAAATGTCAGTAGGAAGAAATAAAAATGTTATTCACCGACCTTGGTCGATCCGTATTGCATGGGAGAAACGGTGCCCTCGGTCTGAGTACCTCCCTCGGCCTACGGCCTTGGGTGGTACTCAAGACCTCGGGCAGTTTCTGCCAATACGGATCGACCAAGGCCGGTGAATAACATATATACATCCCAAACATATTTCCCATTTCCCATCCCATTTCTATGCTAATTTGTGGAAAACTAGTCCAAATACTAAAATTCTACATAGCAAGGGTTAAACTTTGTCTACCGTAATCGCAGTCAGGATCATGGCAGGATCTTATGCTCAGTTGATAATTATGCATAATTTTGGTAAATTTCAACCTGGTATGTTAGTCCTGATAATTTGGCAAAGGCATATAGCTATTTGTTTTAGTCTTGACCTTGGATTTCATTGTTTGCATACCATCTCGAATACCTGCATATTTTGGGTAAATATCGTTCCTACATCTGGTTGAACAAACCACCTGAAAATTCCTTCACAGAATAAAATATTGTACTAATAGTACAATAAAGAAACACAAAACAGCCTCGCCGGCAGTCGAACACGGCACAAAATCTCCTGTTTTCTACCCTGCGAGCAGAGGCTACATTTTCGCGGTATGAGCTGGCATGCGAAAAGTAGCCTCTGCCGACAACCGTTCAGTTTTCTATCGTGCATGCGCAAAATTCGTCACGCGATTCGCAAGCAACTGGTTCTTCAAATCTGCGTGAGTTTCGCGGGAATCAAACTTGCGTAAACTACCTGCGAACTACTCTCCTCGAGCTTTTGTTTTGTTTTTCTGTTTCGCCCCCTCTGGTTTTAAGTAATTTAGCCCCAAAATTTCCATGGATCGTCTTTTTTAGGAAAGTATTTTTATGCTATCAACTGTAGTAAGTTCTGTCTGTTTTGCGGGGAACACATTTTTCTGGCGTGAAAGATAAAATTCGCCGACAACGCTACGCAGAAGTGATGCTTGAAATAAATTGGATGCTGTAGTCTCACGATTGTGTTTTAAACTAATGTTATGAATGAACATAGACAAAACGGTAGTCCGTAAAATTATTTATCGAAAAGTTTTATTCGAAAACCCATAATTTTATCCTTAAAAGCAATTCTCGTAATACTAACTGGATCGTGGATCATTTCACGCAAGTAAAAGCTGCCGAAGACATTAAATGTCAACGGCAAAATCCGTCTCAAGTCGTATAAAACATCTATGAAACAACTATAAATACTTAAATTCCATTTAAAAACGAAACTTCGTTGACCATTAATGTGCAAGTTGTACCTGAAAATTCTTTAAAAACTTTGCCGGCTTGGTTTCTTTTCAGAACAGGAGAAGCTTTCCACCGTGAAGAAACCAACCAGGTTGAAGTCCTTGAGGGCGAATCAGTGTTCAGCCAAAAGCTTTTTTTTCTACTTTTTCCACCAAAAGAAAACTGATCGATGATTCTTTTGAACATTCCGGTTCCCATTTGTGTCTTAAAACAGTGCATTTAGCCTTGCATTGAGAGGCGACACAACAAAAATCACCGCAGTATCCATTTTCTTTTCCTTACAAACAAGAACTACCATAATGATAAATTAGCGATCTTTACACGGTCCCGTAAGAAGCACCGGCAGCAGCTTGTTTTGGTATTCCGACAGCTTTAAAATACAGAGCTTATTCAAGTTGTTGACGACGCTCTTTTAAACACATAAACAGGGATGTTTGAAGTTGTCTGAACTTTTCCTGTTGCTACGTTCGAGCTATGTTGATCCGCGTTCGTATGCGAGAATTTGGCGCGAAGGAATGCATGAAGGCGCAGTAATGGTCAGCGATCATTCGCTGAAGCAAGACTCACGCAATGCTCTAAACCGGTCAAGAACAAGAAAAAACCCATTTTTTTAATTTATTCGTCCAGATTTTTGGACGGATTTGAACGGTTGTCGGCAGAGGCTACTTTTCGCACGCCAGCTCATACCGCGAAAATGTAGCCTCTGCTCGCAGGGTACCTGTTTTCTGGTGATTTTACCAAACGGTTAATGTATTGAAAGTGCCACGTTCACGATCTGTTTTCTCATTTCGGAATTCGCAAGGAAAACTCGGCGTTCACAATCCGTTGACACCAGGAAAATATGCTGTTTACTTCACGTTTTCCAGCACACGGAAAACGTGGTTGAACAGTGCGCTTTCTCTCGTTAACCGGACATTTTACCAAACGGTTAATGTAAGGAAAATATCGCGTTCGTGACTCGTTTTCCAACTTCGGAAAAGACAAGGACAACTTGGCATTCACCATCACTTAGCAGAGGGAAAATATGCTGTTCATGTCACATTATCCAGCACATGGAAACAGTCTAAAAACGGGTTTGAACAGCTCGTTTTCTCTCGTTAAACGGAAATTTCACCAAACGGTTAATGTCGTGAAAATATCACGTTCGTAAATCCTTTTCCGACTTCGGGTAACACAAGGAAAACTCCCGGGAAAACTCAACATTCACCGGCGGTAACACCAGGAAAACATGCCGTTCATTTCACGTTTTCTAGCACCTGGCAAACGCGATTCAATAGTGCGTTTTGCAACTCATTTTACCATCGTTATCAGCAACGTGTAAACAGGCCGTTGACCGCCGTGTTTTATTTGGGTCCAAACATTTCCTGCCAAGAATTCCCTCAGCTTTATTTTGATTATCTTACCAGCAACAACTTTGGCAAGAAACCGGTGTCTGTGAATATTACAACGGAAATTGACTTCTCAGTAATCTCAGTTCAGCAGATTCTGAATACGATAAGACTTATTAGAGGTCTGTCGTAATCGTCGATGATTTTGAAACAAACTCAAGGCATGCAAAATGCATTCAAAGGCTTCTCTTATTTCTGCCGCGAGGCCGCAAAGCTAAAAGATCCTAGAGAAAACGCAATGGCACAGACCATTTCTGTTTCCCTAGTAACCGGGCTCGTAGCCTCGACATCATGAGTGACACAAAAGAACAAGATCACATGACCTCAAAGTCCACGTTTCTTTCGTGTGAGGAAATATTTTAACACATTTCGAAGAAGGCGGCGGGAATTTCGAGTTTTTGTTGTTTTGCTGCCATGTCCGCGGTCGATCTTGGCCAAGAAATCTCTCTTTCGGACCTTTACTTCTTGTTATTACAAGCCACGATTAAGGGAAGCAAGGTTTTGAGGGCGCAAGTGGCCGAGAGAACGGAGAAAGAAGAGGACGTCAACAGACTTACCGTTAAGCTGTAGACGAGCTGTGTGAAAAGTTTTCGACCGAAGAAGCGTCTAGAAAGAGGAAAAGGAGCGCCAGTTCTTAATTGACGGTTTCAAGACAATTAGGGTAAGATCTTTAACTTCTTTTAGCATGTATTGTAAGGAATTGATCTCGAAATTGAATGCAAGTCGAGGATTTGTTAGTAAGCTACATATACAGGGAGGAATCTGGAATAGTGAAATTCGGTATCCGGAATACAACTGTACCTAAGGAAACTTTCTTGGAAGGGATAAGAGAACAGTTCTGGATGGTCATGTTGAAACGCAGACCATGCAGACTAGAGACTG